AGTATGTGGTGTATCTTTAAGTCGTGATTTCTCAGCCTTGAGGCGTCTTGTAAGTTTTGTGTTCACCTGGTGTTGTTAAACCTTTAGGCTAATACTACTCGATGTGATTTTTCTTTTTCTTTTTTTTTTTTTTTTTTACTCTTATGATCTAAATTTTTCTCCTTAAGTTTTATATGGTAAAATTCCTTTGGGTTTTGAACTGATGTTTATTAGCTGGACAAGGCTGTGGAGTGGCTGTGTTTTGGTGAGGTGTGGTGATGTTCTATTGTGCTCGAGTAAAATGGACTAGAAGGATCTTTTTGGAGCATGCTACAACTATCAGTGAGGAAAGCTGAGAAACAGATAAGACAGGGTAAATATCCCTTTAGATATAGGTGTGCTGGAAAACTTATGAGCATCCTAAACAAAATTTTAGAATTGTAACGATTGTTGTGGAGTAGGATTGGAATACTTGTTTCACTGCTGTATAGTATAGCTGGATGGAAGAGGAGGTAGACTGCATAGTCCATAAGGCTTCTTCATGCTATATAGAATTTTGTTACAGGTATTGCAGTACCAGATAAAACATTGTTTACACTAGCTTTCATATATTTTCTAGCTAAAAAGACTACTCCCTTACTGAACTTCCTGAAAAATAAGCAGGTAAGGCTTCTGCCCAGAATCTTCTTGTTGCTTGCAGATACAATAATTTGCTCATTTAGAGCCTGAGTGCATATGTTGCAGGGTGCTTATTGATACGTTACTGCTCTTCTTTTTGAAGAAGCAGCTTTTGATCCAATTTCCTTGCTTGTAGGTAGTTCACATATGTTAAACTATAAGAACACTGGCTTTTGTAATAACAGTGATGTTTTCTGTGCATTCTGGTCACAGCTAGCACCATGCTGGACATTCTGTAGCACTGCCAAACCAGATCTCATTTAAATGCTTGCGTTTTAATGCAATTGTGGCTGAGGTCCTTATAAATAATCTTTCTCCTAGCACTTAATCTCATTTTAACGCAATTCAGAAAATCACTGATGATTTGAAATTAGAATGATAAAGGCGGAGTCCAGTGTCTTTTCCTCCCATAAATCTTGACTTGTGCTATGCTTTAAAAAATTGATGCTGTAATATTGTGTTCAGGTTCACAATAGCACTATAGAGAAAACAGTGGCTTTGTAATAGGGAAAGTTTTGAGATGAGTTATTTTCTAATGGAATATTCCATCACTTTGTAGCAAAATACCCTGTTGGGCTTAAAGAGATACACTATTTCTTTGTTTTTGACACATGTAGAGGCTCAGAGAGGAAAAGAGAGAGGAGAGGAGGAGGAGAGAATTGGAAAGAAAAAGACAAAGGGAAGAAGAAAGAAGAAAATGGAAGGAGGAGGAGAGAAGAAAGAGAAAAGAAGCAGAAAAACTGAAGAAGGTAGACAGATGTCCAGAAAAAGAAAGAGACAGATCAAAAGAAGAACCAAAGATTAAGGTCTAGAACAGTTCTTTATTATAAACTGTTACATTCCTTTTCCCCTATTATTTGTATATAAGTCTTTCAAAATGTGCTCTGTGTGAAGAATCACATGAGTTTGGTGTTCGTAAATTACCACTTTTTTGTAATATTTAATAGTAGGCATTGTAAAAGTTAACGTGCTGTAATGCTTCATAGTAATACTTAAAGCTTTTGTCATGTGACTTGTACATGCTGTGGTGAACAAAATTGTGACTTTACTATGAAATAGAGACTTATTTTTAAGCTTTCTAACGTGTGTTTTAGGAAAAAAAATCCAATATGTTGTGTGGATTAAGCTTACTCATACACTCCAGCTTTTAAAGTACTGCAATTTGCAGTAAAATAATGTGTATTTCTTACTGGGCTGTGGTTCCCTTGATGCAATTTCAGTGTTGTGCCAGACAAATATGTATTAGAGTGAGCTTTTTAGTTGAGACTTGTGTTTTCTTTGTAGCTACTTAAGAAGCCTGAAAAAGATGAGAAAGACTTGGAGAAAAAAGAAAAATCCAAGAAACTGGAAAGAGAGACTCTGAGGGAGGAAAAAAATGCGAGTAGTGCATCTGCCAAACGATCTGATGGGGAGACAAAAGAAGAGAAGGCAAAAAAGTATTCTAGTACTTGCTATAAATATCTATATGTATATATAACATGTTTCCTGATCATACCGAGGGTCAGGCTTCTCTGCCATGACCATGTTTTGCAATTCCTTTCAAATGATTTTTCTCATATAAGGTGTGGGATGTGTTTTCTGTGGCAGTGCAACATCCCCATGATTGTGAGAAGATGTGTGAATTACGTCATTTCTTCACTAGTGGACAAACTTTTAAGATTTTTTGCAACTCTCTCTAGGAACTCCACAAGAGAAGCCCAGGTGTAGGGGACCTACAGCGGGCTGAGAGCACAATCCTTGCAATGAAAGAATTATAACCGTGACAAGAGGAGAGGCATACTGCACTTACTAGTCCCTTTGAGTCTTATAGAAGGTCAAAGTTGAAAACCTAATACTCAGCAGCTTCATGATCTATTCAGGGTTCGGTTCTGCCATGTGGGGCAGAGAAATTTAGATGCTTTCAAAGCCAGAGGAGGCTCGGCTAGCTATGTGACCAGAAGGCTAAGAAATGCCAGCACTTGGTGCCATCTCTGGTTATCGTGCATGACTTGGGTTAGGACAGTTTCCCAAAACTAGAACCTACCAGTCTGTCGTCTTCATATTGCAAATTTACACCAGTGTTACATTGATCTCCCAGCTCTGTTTGGTGAATCTTTTGAGCTTCATCTTCAGTTTTGTTTTCATACAGATCGGAAGATGAGTGTGTAAAGGACTACAGGGATCGAGATAGAGATTTTGAAAGAGACAGAGAATATGAGAGAGCACAGAGGGAGAAACTGAGGCGCCAAGAAGAAGAGCGTCGGAGGCAGAAAGAGCGCTTTGAGAAAGAAAAGGTTTTTAGAAGAAAAGAGGAAGAGGTGAAAAAGGAGAGAGACTTGCTCAGAGATAAGGGAAAGAAAAGTGATCTTACAGACTTTACCTGCGGCATGGACAAATCTGAGAAAGTAACCAAAGATGATAAAAAAGAGGATACGATTAAGAGGGATCGTATCAGAAACAAGGTGCTGTGTTTCTTCAATTTTATGTGTTTAATTCATAGAGACCTGTTTGTGTTTTTAGGGTAAATGCACTGTGAAGAAAGAACCGTATTGTTTCTGTCATAGTTCTCCCTGTTAATGTAACAAGCTGCTAGAAAGACTGCCAATTTTTTTATGAGATTTTTCGTGCATTGATATTTTTTTCCTTGTCACTGTACAGAAATTAAGCCAAGGTAGTGGGCTAAATTGTAGATGCCATGATTCCAATTCATTTGATAGCAATCCGGCCCATTGGCAGGCGTTGGTACAGCATTGCTAAACTGCATCTTTTGATGTATGTGCCTGAAAATGTATCTCGGAGTAGGAGAGTGATTAACCAGGTTCCTCCAAAACCAAGGACAAGGCTATTACATGCCAAACATAACATCCTAAGAATAAATTCATGATGAAATGCTTGGAGTTCAGTTTTATGTGCTCTGCAGCTCTGCTTCTGCAGTACAAGCACATAAGGTAGCAATATGTAAGTCTTCTGTGTCACCTAAGACATTATTGGATACGAATTGAAGAGGTTTTGGAGGAACTTCCAAGTTGGTCTGCGTTCTGCAAGTGGGAGAACTGAACTAGTCTCTTAAAGATGGAAGTGAAGTACTGATAACTTCAAGCAGGTGCAGTCCTTTGTGGCTTGAACAGGGGCAACCTTGGTTTGAGCCAGTTGAAGTTACGTGGCCACCTTGGTAGAATAATATATTTTAGAACAGTCTGAGAAGTTTGAAATTGAGCCTTTTGTTATATTGCTGATGTCATTATAACCTTGAGAGCGCTGGAGCTCTGAAGGGGTCTAAATAGTTTTGATTTATTTCAGGATCGTCCAGCAATGCAGCTGTACCAGCCTGGAGCCCGAAGCCGAAGCAGATTGTGTCAGTATGAAGACAGTGCTGCAAAGTCCACAGATCAGGGAGCAGAGAAGAAACAAGAGAGTGAGAGCAGTAACGTGAAGGAAGAGGAGTGACCAGCATGCAGGCCTTATGTGTTCTGACTGTCTGTGCAGCCAAAGAGCTTGTACTACGCAATCCAGAAGTGCCTTCGAAGCGAAGAAGGAACAAAGGAAGAAGAGGGGCATTGCGCTGTTGGATGTTTCTGGCTAAAGAACCTCAGTTGTAGATTTGGAATTTGAAATGTTCTCATTGTATTTTCAGTTATTTGAATTTATTTTCCTAGCATCTAACTACAACAGAGAAGAGAACCTTTGCAAAGTAGAAAGACTTTGTGGCCTTAAGTGTGATAATAAACGAGTCATGCGGTCAGGAGGAGATGACACCTGGATCTAATGCAGAGCTTTACTGTAGAGCCATTGGAGCCACTGTACCATGCACTCGAGCAGAGCAAGCTTGCAGTGTTGTGCTGTTAACACGGTGTTGCCATGCCGTGTGGAGCTCCTGCCAAAGCGATGACGGCTCCTTTAGAGCAGTAGCACCGAGCCAGGTCTGCCGGAGGGTGAGGTAGGGGTGGAGCAGAGCGCTCTGGTTCTGAAAAGGAGAACATCTGGAATTGCACAATGAGCTGAGGAGGGGAGAGCCCTTCCTCGAGAAAGAATTAAGTTGGAGTGTATGAATAAGCTGGCTTAATATGGGATACTGCTTGAAATTCTTTTGTAAAGTCTACCTGCACTGAAATGCTTATTTTGATCGAACGTAGTTGTACAGAGCATCCGCTTCTGTTCGAGTCTGAAACGTTTCCCAACTGCCGCCCTCGGTCTGTGCTTCATCTTCCCTCTGTTTTGAAGTGTTGTTTTACAGCCCGGAAAGCCTCCGCCGGTAGCGGCTCCGTTAAGGTAGCGCCTTTTAGCCGTGCCGCTTTTTGTACCGAGCCCAATAAACGTCCGCAAACCGTCGCAGCCGCAGTTGCGTCACTCAGCCGCGCCGCAGGGGGGCGCTGTGCTCACGGCCCCGCGCCGCCGCCCCGCCCTCGCCCCGCCCCTTCCGCCTCTTCCGCAGCCGCCATCTCCGCGTCGCCGTGCCGCGCAGCGCTATGGTGAGGCCATCGGCCGCCATCCGGCGCCGGGACGCGCCGCTCCCGGCCCGCTTCCCCGCCGGGCGGTGACTCGGGGCTCGCGGCGGGCTCTGGCGGGGCGGGAGGGTGCCGGTTATCGCCTCGCCCGCGGCGGGGCCCGGCCGAGCTCCCCGCGCTGAGTGCCGCTTTCTCTTGCAGTCGTCTCACAAGACCTTCAAGATCAAACGCTTCCTCGCCAAGAAGCAGAAGCAGAACCGGCCCATTCCGCAATGGATTCGCATGAAAACGGGCAATAAGATCAGGTAATGGGATCGGCCGTTGCTCTTTGAGGAGCCGCGGCCCAGCACTGCGCAGGCTCGGCATGGCGTTCCTGTGCGGAACGGCGTGAAGGCTGGAGAAGCTGCAGTGTGCGCTGCACGGAGGCAGCTCTCGCGCGGTATGCGGGCTGCGGATCTCCACAGGTTCTGTTTTGGTTTTTTCCCCTGAGTTTGGGGATGCCAGCTTCTCCTTCTCGAATTCATTTCTGCGTTCTGTAAGTATTTATGGGTGTAAATCAGCTGTTGAGATGAGCCAACTTTGATTAACGGTCAGTTAATTGAAACGGAAAGCATAAGCTGTGTCTGTGGAAGAATTATTCCAGAATGTCACATCAGCAGCCGTTCTGCTGAGATTCCTCTTCCAGCTCCTTCCCTGTCCAATAGCCTTCCCTCTCTTGCTGCCTTCTCAAGGAGCAGCGCCTTACAGAACATACAGAGCACGTGTTCTGAGGTGCATGAAGAACCAGAAGCCTCCTTGGGTGTAGGGAGATGAAATCGACAATATAAAGTGCTTGATTTGTGACTGAAACTAATTTGCAGTAGTTCCCTTTTCTTTGCCTATAGCACTTGTTTTCAAGCATTACATTCAAGAAAGCGCAGTAAGAGAGTATTGCAGCATACCAGCTAAATGCCAGCTGTGCAAAAGATGGTGCCAGTGTGAGCCCTTTGGTTTAAAGCCTCCAGCCAGACCAGTCACTGCGCAGCCAGCTCATTGTGTAGCCCATGTGCTCTGCTGCCCAGACTTCTTAGGGGAGTAGGATTCTTTCTCCCAGATCTTTTTTTCTCCTCTGCAGTGAGGAGAACAGCAGTACCAGCAGCTGGCTATGGCAATGAGGCAGCACAGAATTGCGAGTTCTGTTCCCTTTGCTTCTGTTAACTCTTTTCCTTTTAGGAAAATTAGCATTGTGTGCCCCTTGTCTTTCAGTTACCAGCATAAAAAAAACCTCCTGTTTTTGCTGTATTATATTGCTTTGTTATATTTTATCTTGCAGCAAAATTTCTAAATTTTGTCTAATTTGTGGCACTTAAGTAGTTCAGTTACCTTCCAAACTATGTGCTATAGCAGGCTGCAATTGCAGTGCTTCATTCTGTGGGAGTACTGTCATTTTCCTGCTGAGAGTAATTCTGTTAATGCTGTCTTTGGTTTTACCTGCGTGTTGGTGAAACTGTTTGTCCTTAACATAAACATCACCTGTGGCTCATAAATGGATGTACATTATCAATAATTTGATGTAACTTCCCAGAAGAGTGTACTTTCCATATGCTGCTCATCATCAAAAATGATTATATTTGTCTTAGAACACAAATTGCATGCAGGAAATAGCTTTCACAATCATTGGGCAGACTGTACATGGGGTTTTTTGTCTCCAAAAGAGGGGGTAAAACATTCACAGGCTAGTGCTAATGCATCTTTTTCTATGACATGTTTCTTTCTCAAGGCTTTAGATTTCTCCGCAGTGCTATGCTAATTGGTTAGTAAATGAAGAAAGTAAACAGATGGGAATTTAAACTAAAAGAAAGTACAAAGTTGATTTTAGTTGGCAGCTTGCCACTGTAGCATGATAGAAATCCTTTACTGATGAGCTAATTAAAGGTGTTTTCAGTCCACCTGGATGATCAATTGTGCGTGTTTTGCTAACTGACATTGTTTTTGTGTTAGGTACAACTCCAAAAGGAGACACTGGAGAAGGACCAAACTGGGCTTGTAAGAGGGACTGTCTCCTGGGAGCTCTAATAACACTTGTCTTTCTGCATCAGATTGATACACCCCAAACGCTGATCAACAACCCTCAAGTCATTCCTTCTGTAGTGCTGGACTGCAGTGCTCAGTTCTTGTTCCATGAGCCAATCCAGGCTCATGATATTAACAGGAATCTCAAAGCATTTGGTATCTGAAACATGAAGACTGTGTTCTATTAGTGTTCTTTCTTTCAGGCATCATAAGTATTAACAGTGTACGGGCTTGTTAATAAATATGGACCTGAATGAATTGGCTGACTTTGTGTATGTACAGTGGGGTGGTAGCATAGAAAAGTAGTGTTACTGCAGACACATTCTTACCTAGTATGGAAAACCTCGCCAGCTCTTTCCAGCCAGGTGAGGCTATATCTTCTCAGTTACTGTAAATTGTAGAGCGTCAAACACACCAGTTCTTAAAGAAAAGGGGTAAAAACAAAGCTGATTTTAAAGTAGTTAGTCTAGTGAAAATCTATTATTAGACAGATAATGGGGAAAAAAATAAAGGCTTTTGGAGGCAGAGGACACTCAGGTTTGAAAAAGACTTCATGACCCACAGTTCCTGTGGCTGAGGTAAGTACAGTGTCGGTCTCTGATTTGTTGACTGGGGAAGATGGGGTTACATTTTGGGTAGTTTTAGGCAATGTTACTACAAAAACTAAGTAGCACTGTCACCGTATGTTGAAGTTGAGTCCATTTACCTCTGCTGGTTTTATTTTATGGAGCTGCAAAGCACATTGAGAAGGTTCCTCTGGGATAAGGTGGCCTCCTGTGTGAAGCTCTCCAGTTCCCTTTCTCAGTTCCATTGATGCTGACATGTTGGATGTACAGATATCCCCTGTGACAGAAACCAGCCTCTGCTTCTTCCCAGCTCCGTTGTTACCTCCCACGTAACCCTTTAGAACATCTATGGGTAGACCACATAGTAATGCCTAGGGGGGTCCTGTTGTTGCTGTTCAGATTGGTTGCTTTTCTTGTGTTTGAAGTGCCATGCGTCAGTACTGGTAAGATGCTGAAATATCATAGAAGAACTATGAAAGCACTTGTCCAGGCAGTGTGAATGTGAAGCTAAGACTGGTCAGTGAGATTTGCATATTGTGACTGTCTGCCCTGGGCCTGAGCAGTGTGCCTGCAAAGCCTGGCCCTGATACATGCCCATGTGAGCTGCAGGTGGCTCTTTGGGAGCCCAGGCTGTGATGTGGGACACTTACAGAGATCTCACCTCGTGACACAAGTCGTCCAGGGGAGACAGCTGTATCTGCAGTGTCTGTGGCTCCAGGTGCAGCTCTTGGGTGCAGCGTGGAGCAGAGCAGCTCCTGGAGCAAGAGGTTTGGATCCTGGTGGGGGAGTGGGTTCAGCATAGCTGAGAGTTTCATTTATGAGGTTGGAAAGGAGAAAGAGGGAAAAATACATCAAGGACAGTGGGGAGAGATTTATTTCCTAGGAAATCTGTACTCTGTAGATAGGCTGTAATGCGTAATGTCTCCATGGGACAACCTGCTTCGTGTTGCTCGGAGCTCTTACTGCTCTATGGAGTTGTCTTGATGCCAACCATAGGTGCAGCTTAATTTAAAATACTGTCAGCAGAATGGTAATTAGAAATTACTTAAAGGGAGAAGGGGGAGAAGGAATTAAACTGAAGACAGCACTTAAGCTCCCCATATCCTGCATTGTCCACCAGGACCTCTGATAGTTGCCTACTTACTGCAGGGAACTGCAGGAGGCTCTGACTTAGCACTGAACCCACGTGGGCTGCACCGTCCCCTTCTCCAGGGCAGGCCTGTGGTCAGCCATCACCTCTGCTCAGCAGGCAGCAATGATGCAATGTGCTGGATGTGTCTGTGGCAAAGCCCATCCTGCTGCTGAGTGCTGCAAAGAAGGCAAATAGCCATCTGACAAAGTCTGGGAGTCAGCCATTTGCAGGGATGTGAGGCTGCCACGACATCCATGCAGTTTTCTGGGGAGTTCTCAGAGTTGTGAGTGCCTGGCTGGGCTGAATTCTCCCCCAAGTCTCCACACATCAAATGCCCCAAGCCTTCACAGCTGCCTGTCATCACCTCACACCCACAGATCCTTTCCCTCTGTGCAGCCTGCCAGCCACTCTGCCCCAGGCCTGTAGCTCTGCCTGGGGTTGTTGTGACCAAAGAGCAGGACTCAGCACTTGGTCTCCTTGAAGCTCATCCCTACCATCACCCTGTCCAGATCCCTCTGTAGGGCCTCGCTGCCCCCAGGCAGATCGACACCTCCTGCCAACTTGGTGCCATCTGTAAACTTAACTGATGGTGCACTCAGTGCCCTCATCCAGGTTGAACAGGCTGGGCCCCAGTACTGACCCACTGGAGAACCACACTTGTGACCAGCTGCCAGCTGGATGTGACTCCATCCAACACCACTCCTGGGCTCATCTCTCAGCCAGTCCCTCACCCAGCAGAGAGCATACCTGGCTGCTGCTTCTCCTGGAGAATGCTGTGTGAGACAGCGACAAAGGCTTTGCTGAGGTCTAGGTAAACTTTATGGACAGCCTTTCCCTCATCCCCCAGTCACTCGGTCATAGGAGATCAGGTAGGTCAGGCAGGATCTCCCTTTTGGGAAGCCACGCTGGCTGGCCCCGATTCCCCAGCCGTCCCGTGCAGCACAGCGTGCCTGCACCCCGACTGCTCTGCCCATCTCTGGCACCGAGGTCAGGCTGACAGGCCTGCGGTTCCCCTGCCCTCCCTGCGGCGCTCCTCGTGGAGCGGTGTCACATCAGCAGCCTGCAGCCGCCTGGGTCCCCCCAGCCGAGCAGGACCGCTGGGAAACGGCTCGGCGATCGCTTCCGCCCGCTCGCTCCCTGCGGCGGAGCCCCGCAGCCCCGGGACGTGCGGGAGCCCATCTGGAGCGGCAGGTCGCTCACCGTTTCCTCCTGAGCCGTGGGACTCATTCCGCTCCTCGTCCCCGTCCTCCGGCACCGCCCTCGCTCTCACAGCGCTACAGGAAGCGCCGGCAGCCCCGCCTTCCCTCGCCCTAACGCCGTTCCCCACGGCGCCCAACCGCGGCGCCGCCGCCCTCCGCCCGGCCCCGCCCTCCGCCCGGCCCGCACCACCGCCGGCTGCCGCGGGGGGGAACCGCAACCCCGCGCCTTCCGCAGCGCGACGGCGGCGCCGGGACCGGCGGTACCGAGCGCGAAAGCGGCGCGGGGTCGCGGCGCGGGGTCGCGGCACGGGCGGGGCCAGCGGCGCGGGGCGACGAGGCGGTTCCACCCCCGTGAGGCGGCGCGGTGGGCGCGTCCGGAGCCGCCCGGCCGGGCGGGGCGGGCCCTGTGGCGGGCGGGCAGCGATGGCGGCGGCCGAGGTGGCGCGGCAGGTGAGAGCGGGCCGGGCCGGGCAGGGCCGCGGGCGACGGGCGGTTCGAGTCGGCGGGGGCTTCGGGGCTCCCGTAGGGGTGAGCGGCGGTACCGCGAGGCGCCCGTCCGTACGGCTGCGGACGGCCTTTCCGCGGGGGCGCGGGGTTCCGCAGAGTCCGCGTGCGGAGAGCGTCCGACCGCACGTGTGCGTCTGTGTGTCTGTCTGTGCGTGCGGGCCGGGGGGCCTCGTTCCGTGGAGCTGTGCCCGCCCCGACCGCTGGGAGCCCCGGGGGGCTGCGCTGCGTCCTGTGCCGCACCGCGGTGCGGGGCTGCGGGAGCGGCGTGCGGCGGGGCAGGGCCGTGTGCCGGCATCGCACACAAGGGCCGTGTGCCGGCATCGCACACAAGGGCCGTGTGCCGGCATCGCCGGGGAACGCCGCTCCGGGGAGCAGACCCGAACCGCGGCACGGGCGTCAAGGGATGGAACCGAAGGCGATCGGAACGGCGGCTTTCGGAAGCGCTCGCGTGATGCGGTGCGCCTGAGAGCGGGCGGTGCTCGGCCCTTCGGCGGCTGGCTGGATGCGGTCCGTTGCTCCCACTCTCTTTTGCTCTTCCTTTGTGCTCGTCCTCCTGGGCTGTTAGCAGCTGAGCGAGGGAAAGAAATGCGAAGCCTTTACCTGCGTTTGACGTTCGTGCGTTGCGTTTGTTTCACGGAGAGCGTCATCCCATCTGCTGGATAATTGCGAGAGAGAATTCCGGACTCGAACGAGCGAGAATGAATTGGTACGAGCGTTGCTCTACTTTGCGGTTGAATTAGAGCCAAATGCAGTTTGGGGAAGAGGATGCCACAAGGCCGACGTCGGGGGAAGGGATCCCATGCTGTTCTTGTTTAAACGCGATCTGAAAAGCTGTGGTGTGGACAGAGGGCCCGGGGCCTCCCGGCTTCGGGATCTGCTGTTTGCCTCCTGGTGTGGGCAGCTCTGCTGCAGTGCAGGAATTCCCGGCCTGGCTCTCAGCAGAGGCAGCAGCAGCCATGCTGAGCACTGCGGTGGGGCTTTGTGGGCGGCCGTGCCTCAGGCAGGTTTCTCCATCCTGCTCTGTGGGACCCCCCTGGTGCAGGAGGGTCTGGGTGCTGCTCTGGTGGCCGTTCATCCTGAGGGGCTGTAAAGGTTGAGACATCTGCAGTCTGAGCCTTGCGCCCTTTGTGTAAACTGCTGTTTAATGTGCAGTGCTGTTAGGCTTGGGGTAAGGTGTTATAGCATCTCTGCATTTTCTGTGTCGTTCTGGTACTTCTCTGGAGGAGTTGGGTCAGTGGTGTGGAGGAGCCTTCAGAAAAGGTGTGAAAATTCTCCAGAGATGGAGAAATGAGACAATTTCTTCACGAGGCTGACCTTCGGTTTTGCTTTGAGATAGCCCTGCCTGGCAGTGCAACAAGAGCACACGTTGCTCTGTTTGTTCTTTAATCATGCTTTGCTGCTTCCTCAGCAATAGCAGCCTATTCTCCTCGGAGGTCGTCCTGCATGTGTGGGGAAAAACACATTGTTGGGCATCTTGGGGCAGTGCCAGCGCTCACACTGCCTTCCCACTGCCCACCTTTGCCTTTGGTGCACAGGCAGGCCAGCTCAAAGCCAGAGGAGGTGTGAGGGCTCTTGGCCGTCCATCTGACACTCAGTGGGCTGTGGGCAGCAGTGACACCTCCAAATCTGCTTCTAGTACGCAGGCTCTTGCGATGCCCTGGCCTTGCAGGCTTTGGACTGGAGCTGCTACAGCTGCATGTGCCACATGGCTGTGTTTGACATGGTGGCTCAGCTGCTGCAACCGAAAATCGCGTTTTGCAGCACTCATTTCCTGGCCTGAGACAAATGCGAAAGGCGCTGTAACTGCGTGATAAAACCACAGGTGATGAGGAGAGGAGTGCACAGGAAATGACTCGCAGGGTAAATGCCTCCTCCGAGCCGGAGTAGTTTGACTGTTTATTTTTCTTTTCCATCTGGATCGCGCTTATATTTAGGGCTGTGGAGAAGATTTGTTCTTAATGAGAGCCCACACACCCACCCACACTTCCTGGAGAGAGCAGCGTTCAGACTGTCTTCCAGCATGCAGGTTGAGGGCTGTGTGTTACAGATACCCGTGCTGGCTCTCCATCCCCAGGAAGGATGCTGTCTGCAGGCCCTGTCCTCCTGTTTCTCCTTCAGTGGGGCAGTGCACTCCCTTCCTGGGGAGGGAGCAGCCCCACACGTGTTCCAGCACTGCGTTGTTGTTTGGGTGAAAGCTGCTCAGTAAGGTCTGGAGGCATGGTGCTGGTGCTGGGTGAACATCTTGGCAGGAAGAATTGGGCTGATACACAAAATATGGCTGTGGGGAAACAGGTTGCAGGGCTGTAAATATGGTTAATGGCTGAAATCTATTTGGATCTTCACATTTGGGGGAATAAAGCTGCACCAGCAAATTACACAAGGACTGGTGCTTTGACAGCCTGCTGGAGTAATGCAGTCCCTGAAGACGTTTTGCTAGCCTGAAACACTGGTGTAGTTAGCAAAGAAAAACAGCACACTTGTCCCTACAAACAGGTTTATTTACGTTAAAGCAGGGTTTTGAAGGAATAAATTGAGAATTATACCCCTATGAGCAGTTGCCTTATGGCTGTAGTATCTCACGTGAGCTGATGATGTGCCTAAACGGCTGGAGGGGAATTTCCTACCTTCGGCTCCTGAATAGGTTATTAAGAAAAAAGCTTTTGATCTGGAGAGAGAAACACCTTTCTGGGGGCTGCAGGAGGGGAGCGTGCAGCACGCATAGATCTGCATGGCTGTGGCACTGCTGGCCGTGCAGACTGCCCCCTTGTGCTTTTTTCAGCAAGGTCTCCTGGTGCTCATGGCCATCCTATGAATCTGAACAGGCTCGGGCTGGCAGCCTGAGGGGGAGGGTACTGCTGTGTTTGGCAGCTCAAAGGCTGCGTTCTGTGTTGCTGTGTGCTGCAGCAGTGAGCTGTGCAGGGGCCGTGTTTGGGCTGATCAGATACCAGATGGAGGTACAGATTTCCTCATTGTCGCTAGCTTGTTTCTGTAATCAAAGCTGTAATGTGAATTGTAATAGGCTCATGTGAGGAGGCATTGTTAATACCTTCCTTTGCCGTGAGGATTATTCTTTGCTTTCAGCATAAGGTGAGACTTGAGTCTCTCAATAATTTCTCAGGAAACAAATGTTTTTGCACCTCTCTTTCGACCATTGTGTTTGAGTATTGAACACTTTGCACAGTTCAATATTTTTCTGACATGGCTACCATCTCGTATAAGGCAGATGGGGTGTTTTATGTGTGCTGTTCGGGTTTGTTTTGGAGAAGGGCACAGAAGTGCACAGGCAGGATTTACAATATATGTACAAATCTGTGCACGGACTGTGTAGTTGGCTGCACTTGGGAGGTCTTCAGGGTATGGAGGGAGAAGTATATTTTGCATGAAAATGACACCAATTGTGTATTTTTCCTTGCATTTCAGGGTGAAGGCTGTCGTACTGTCCCCCTTTCTGGACATGTAGGATTTGACAGTTTGCCTGACCAGCTGGTTAATAAGTCAGTTAATCATGGGTTTTGTTTCAACATCCTGTGTGTGGGTGAGTATTTCCATCTGGGGAAGTTCTGTTGCTGAAAAGGGCCTCTCTGCAGCTGGGTGTAGCTTACAAATAACAGAATTAACAAAGTAGCTTTGATTTTAAACTTCCATCTCTCTGTTCTAAGTAACATGATTTACTGGTGCCCTGGGAAATCCCTGCTGGGGTTATGGAGTATGGCTTTCTACCAAGCAGTGAACCATAGGAATAAAATGCCTAAAATCCCACGCTTTTATTATGATCTTTATTTGCCTGGTATGATTCAATTTCATATTTCTAAAAGCAAATAGGTACTCATGCTGGAGAACTTTGTTCGGAAGACTTGTGTGGTTAGATATTGAATTATTATTATAATCATTTTAACAAAATACCAGTCGTATTCCTCTTAAAGCACTAAAAGCTGTTTGTTTGATTTTTTTCCCCTTCCTTCAGGACATACTTGAATTAAAATAGTGCCTGGCCACACTGTGGCTGGTGATGCAATTGTCTGTGCTGCCATGTGTTACATGTCTCAGCTGGGGTCAGCCCCACAGCCACACAGAGGCTGCCTGTCCTGCTCTGTGAGAGATCTGGCACAGGGTGCCAACCTGGGACAGAGTCCTGTGTGCCTAGGGCAGGGTTAAGTCTGAGATGAGAGGAGTGAAGTGCAGAGAGAGCACTGCTAAATGGAGCTGAGAGGAAAGCTTTCCCTGACAAGTACGTTCCCATGAGATGATAAACTTTGCTGACAAGTAGAGGTCACTGTCAGGCTGAGTCAGTAGGTGGTTTGTACTGTAAGGAAAGAGATGTGAGCTCATGAAACTCTCGTGTCCCAGAGCCTGAAGTTTGACAGTATTTCCTTTTGCACACATGGAGCTGCTGGTTGTTTTTCTACAAGTTATAAGTGCAGCAGCGGACGGCTCCTGTGCTTAAAGGTTCCCCTGGATGTGTGGAAAGCAGTTGAACACCTCTGCTTTCCTCTTTGCAGAGCAGCATTGGAATGCAGTAATTGCTTGTCCCTCTGAATAACAAGGACCTGCCAAGATCAATATGCATTAGCTATTAATGTCAATCTTTCATGAATAGTAGCAACATAGACATGGTTGAGTCTGAAATAAAGAAGAGAGTTTATTACATAGAAAAATGTCATAAACTCCCTTAGAAAAAGATTTGCAAATATTTAGTTGACAAACTCCTACTTTAACATGGCTTAGCAGAACCTCTTTGAAGCTGTGGTAACAAAGTTAAGCTCTTAGAAAGAAAAAAAAAAAAGCTCCCGGAATCCATCTGTCATTTAGACTGTTGGGTCTCACTTGTGCAGGCTGAGTTTGGGGTGAAGAACTGAAAGAACAGAAAACAAATGAGGCTCGAGGCCAACAAAACAGCAAATAAGTGAACTGATGACTGCTGAACGTGACAGAAAGGCACTTTGGTTCTCTCCATTTTTCAGCAGTGTGTGGTGTTTGTCAGAGGAAAAATCCATTGACAGCTTTACTCTGTGCCATGCTGGAGCTGAGCCACTGATTCCTCCAGCTCCTGCTGGAGGAGCCAAGGAAAGCTGCAAAAATGGCTCTCAGCAGAGTGTCCAGATTAGAGCAATTTTTAGCTGTTCTCCTGCTGAAAGCTGTCTCCTCTGTCAGACAAGAGCCAAAGATAGAGTAGCCGAGCAAAGCTCTCAGAAGAAGTTAGGGGTTGTGGATGGTTTCTCTGATATTCCTCAGCACAGCCATTTTCTTCCTGAAGCTTCTGTGCTGAAATGTTCGTTTGTTAGTTCAGTACAAAGGCTGGGGAAGTCTTTGATGGCTGAGACTTTCTATGCTGGATGAGATGGTGGAAAGAGACAGGAACAAGAAGCTGAGGTTTTCATTTGGTAAACTTTCTTGGTTTTGGCCAGATCATAGTTGTATTGGACTAGCATCACGTTGTAAGCAGGAGTTTCCCTCTTCCTCCCTCCCAGGATTTGCAAGGGATTTGTTCTAAGCAGCCTACTCAGTGCAATGAGAAGCCACTATTTTGCTGTAGAAATTACTTTCTCATTTCCCAGAGGTGTGCTACAACTTTGAGGCCTTTCACAGAGAATGATTCCTGTTTTTCTCCATCTTTCCTTTGCATATTCAGTAGCTCCCAGACTGGACCCAACAGTTTCTGGCTTATTACTTTCCTGCATTCAATTTGTGCTGGAATTACCACCCCAGCCAGACTATTTCACCATGCAGTATGTTCAGCCCCGTGCTGGGTCTCCTGTGCACAGGTTTCCTCATGCCATCTGCTCTCCAGCAGCAGCTCACTGTGGGGTGAGATGGGATCTTGGAGGTTGCCAATGATTGGTTTTGTAGTCAGTAGTGCAACCAGCTGAGTACAGAATTTCTCCAGCTGAGGAGCCACAGGTCTGTGCAGCAGCAGCGCAGCTGGGAGGCCGCAGGGCCCTCTGTAGCTCTTCAGCATCATTTGTGGACCCGTGTTCCTCCCCCTGCTCCTGGCAGCCTGGCTTTGCCTCACCATTCCGCTTGTCAGATGAGAAGAACTATTTTCTGCTCTCCGTGAGAGACAGCCTTATCAGGCTGCGCTGCCTCAGGGCTCGTCCTGACAAACCTGCTACATTGGATTAGCTCCCGTTTCTTCACATGAAAGGGCTGTGCACACACAGACATTTTCTTTAAGATGGCATTATTTGATATCTGGAGCCGTGCCTGTCAATCTGGGGAAGAGCAAGTGTTGCTCTCTCTTGAAAGGACTCTGCAGGGGTTCAAACACTCCCTGCTTTTGAACAGCTGAGTGCTCTGAGGGCTCTTCTGTGCTCCTGGAGAGCGGGCTGAGGGTGGCACAACGGGGGCTCTGAAGGTAGAGGGGCAGCAGGCAGCTGTTTGTTGGTTCACCTTACACCTGCTGGGGGAAAGCAGATCGAATCACCAGACTCAAAGAGGACAAAGAGCTTTGGCTTTTGCAGCTGTGGTGTTTAGCTTGCAGGGTGCTTTGGCAGTGGTGCCCCATGTCCAGGGACCCTGAAATTTGCCCCATACTGAAAGGCACAATGCTACTGGGTTTTAGTGGCTGTCAGAGCTTTCTGGCACAGAGTGAACAATAAAGGTCACCATTCCTACCTTGTCTGTCCTCAGCACTTTGCCAGCCCAGAGAGCAGACTGCTGCAAGGTTGCATAATGCTTAAGTACAGTTTTGGAGATCAAATCTAAGCCTGACATCAGGCAATAATCTCTCTGCCAAGGACGTCTCTTGCTTGATTTGCATACACTGCTGCTTTTTCCATGGTAATTCTGCCTCCCTTAATCCCCATTCATCATTTCTGGTTTTTGGAGAAGATTCCAGCGCTGCTGGCTGGAGTGAGTGCAGCCGCCTTGTCCTTTTCATCAGCCCATCTGTTCCATCTGGACTCCCATCCTTCCAAGCAGCACTTGGCAGTGGTTACATCTCCCAGCCAGCAGGGAGCTGCCTCTGTTTCGGGCAGAAACTCCTGGGAGGCTCAGAAATGCTCTGTTCTGTCAGTTTGCCCTTCAGAGTAGCACTGCTCCAGTTGCATTTCACATGGCAGAGCACTTCTTTCAGCCTGATACTGTCTCACATCATGCTCTTAGAGCCAATGCCATGGCTCCTGTGGCTGAGTTGTTCTTGGGCAGCGGGACACACAGTGCAGAGCCTTCTTTGTACACTGCTGGAATGTGCATGCTGACCTGGCTGTGGTGATGGCTGGGAGTTCTGCTTTCTATATATGGAGTTGTAGGTATTTGGGTGGGAAACTGTTGCCTCTGCAGTCATGTCGTAGCAGTTTAGAACTACCCCTTTCAAAAGGAAAACTTCATCATGAATTCAAAGTCACCTTTGCTGACCCTGTGTAATGTGTAGGAGATGGGAGTATAAAGAAGTGCTCTGTCTTCAGCATTTGCCTCCATCTCTTCTGTGCTGCTGCTGAAAACCAGATGTGAAATTGGTTTAAAGCAGGCAATAATTAGGAGGTTGGAGATGTATCTGAATGTGTCTGTCTTGTCCTCAGGTGGATGCTTTGCACCTTAAAAGAGGAAGGAGGCAGAAATAAGGGGCAGTTTTCGGTGTATTTTGCCTACCATTCACAGGGACCTCATGTATTGGCTGCAGAGGGCAGTTCCCAGCCCCACTCTGTCGTGCTGCACCTTTGTCATGCTGTCAGAAGCAATAGGGCTGGGTGTGGGGCTGCTGCCTGTGGGATGGAGTGCAGGGCAGGAGCAGTTCCCTTGTCCTCAGGAGCCCGCTGGGGATCTATGCAGCTGGCTCCCTGCTCCATCCCGCCCGCCCAGGCAGGAACCCTTGGCAGGAGCTCTGGAAATGCTGCCGCCTTCTCAAGCTGTTTAGATGTCTGTCTGTTTTTTTTTTTTTTTACATTGCTGTTTTCCTGGAATCCCTGAGAAAGGCCTGGTGAGGTCATGCAGGCTTTCTCACGTTAACTCTTGAAATCCTTACCCAGACCACAGCAGTGCTCCATGCTTTGTGCACCTACTGGGGGAAAGTGGTACCCTTACATCCCAAATAGGGTGGGACTGTAGCAACTCACGCTGCTGGTGCTGACTCTTCTCCCCCTGGGGTTGCAGACAGGTCAGTGTGAGGAGCCACTGAGTTGTACACCTAGCATGGTGTGGCACTGGCTGCTGGCTGGCTCTCCAGGCACCTTTGCAGCTCGAGGAACCTGTTGGCTTTCTTGCTGCCTTCTTGAAAGAGAACTGATACACAATCCTGGCGGTCAGACAGTGTGCAGTTCCCAGGGCAGTGGAGTTTTGCCCTACCTGTGCTTCAGCCTAGGGCTGGAGAAGTCTCCTTGCGGGCCAACAGAGAGGAATTTGCCTGCTTGCAGGGGTAAGGCACAGGGATTTGGATGGAGGAGGAAGGGGAGGAGCTTCCCCTTATTGAATTGGGCATTTCATGCAACTTTGGATCTGTTGCAGAGCTTGAAGCCTACGGAAACGAGCAGCTCTTTTCTTCTGAGTGGAGCAGGAAAATATTGATGGTTTTGTTAGGATCTAAGGGCTTAGGGAAGGAGGGAAGGCTGCTTCAGTGAGACACAGTTCCCTGGTGGGCCTGGAGCAGCCTACGCAGTGGGTGGGGTTCAGCTGCCTGCTGAAGTTACAGCAAAAGCCAGAAGAGCAGCTCAGAAATCATTGTTTCCCCAAAACAACAGTGGTCTTCCCAGGGCAGCAGGGCAGCCTGCTGATAGGTGTAATGCAAAGGCAGATCCTGCAGACTTGGAGGGCTGGCTCTGTTGTCAGTGTGGCAAGGGAGACCGCCCTGTGGAATGAACACATGGAGGTTTGTTTTGTTCTCCCTGGGATGTATCTAAAACAAATTTAAGACTGGTCTCTCAGATTTGTCTGTTCACACCAGATAAGGAAACAGCTCTCTGTTGATAGATGGAATCCAAAGAACAGTTCTGTGCTGCAGAGCTTTTGGAAGCGGATTTTTGAGTGTAAGTTGCACAGCCCCTAGGTGTATGGAAATGAGATATAAGAGAACATGCCCCTCCCCAGGCTAGATGGCTGTCCCCCAACTCAGTATATTGTGGGTACAAGAAACCAACTGCACAGCTTGCTGTAGGATAGGAGCCGACTCAGTGTTTCTGTACTGAAGCAAGCTATTTTAGTGGCTGCTAATTACAGAAATACTAACCTGGAGCATCTATTTTAAGAAGAGGCAATGGGCCCCATTTCTCCCTTCCTCTCCTTGCCTAGTGATGAAAGCAGCATCTTCTGTAGTGCATTATGGGTATCTGCAGCATTTGAATGATGCTTTCCTCCTTGCCTTTTCAACTCTTTCTTTTCATCTCTTTTCTTATGATATTAATGGCCATTAGACTGTGAAATGTAATTTGCCCAGAATACAGACCTCCCATTGTTCATGCCTTTCTGCTTGCCAGACGGTCCCTTTGGAGCATGAGATCTGCTTTCATCTGCTACAGTTTCACCCCTGTTAGTGTTTGAATTAACAGGGTTTACTGAAAGGGCAAGCCATGTTAATATTCAACAAAACATTTTCTCTCTCTTTTTCTCCAATAGGGGAAACTGGCCTTGGTAAGTCCACTCTCATGGACACACTTTTCAACACCAAATTTGAAGGTGACCCAGCATCTCACTCACAGCCTGGGGTCCAGCTGAAATCCAGTACCTATGACCTGCAAGAGAGCAACGTCAACCTCAAACTGACTATTGTAAGCACAGTGGGCTTTGGGGATCAAATCAACAAAGAGGACAGGTAAGTGAAGAGGTAGAGAGGCTGTAGCATGACCCAGTTCACTCATACAGGCTTTCCTTTTGTGTCCTAGTTGGGCCAGACTCTGCTCTCCTCTTTCCTTACAAGTTGCCCATGTCATTTTTTCGGGATGGGACAGGGAGAAAAAAGGAGAGAGGCTGTGGTGTGCCATCACTGCTGCAGCTATCAGAGCAGCTTTTGTTACGCAGTCAGAACAATATCTGGCCTGCTGGTAGCCTTCTGCCCAAATTCATCTGGTGGGGATTGCTGAAATGCTGCAGGGCATTTCTGTGCTCTTTGCCTTGTGCTGTCCTGAATGCAAACTTGCAACCAAACATCTAGTGTGGTCTAATCAATTGGTTTAATGGCCACTTCTGGTAGGGCTCTTCCATCTCGCCGGTGGAAACATGATGAGTAATCTGTCCCAGCAGGGCCAGAGCACAGTGGTGAAGGAATGTGTAATTCCACCAGGTCCTCTCTAATGTGCATCTTCACAGAGGCATTTTGATGGGGTTTGCTTTATTGTGGGTCTATTGGATTTTCATTTTAGTTTTGTTTAAGATGCGCTGATGTCCTTTGCATTGCAAGTCTGACAGGCTCTGTATTTCAGATGGACTTGGAAAGCAAGTTGCAGGGTTTTTCTGCCTTTAGAGCACCAGGCAGAGGTAGTAGTGAATGGAGATGCATCTTCTACCTGTAGGAACTGGGACTGTGAGAGCAGCAAGCCATTCGTTCCCTGGGTGCAAGCAAGAGTTACACACTGCTGCCAATGAGTCTGCATTACCCTTCCTTTTAAAAGCATCTCTTCCTCTTGCATTTTGAAGTATGAGGCCACTTTCTCTGGAGGAGATTAGTCTGTAGTAACCCACAGCCTCTGTAGCCCCTGTCAGTAATGTTTCTTCTCTCTGCCAGCACTATTTTTGTCAAACAGGCTGACAGAGTCTGATGTAAGACCACATCTTCTTGTCAGTGGTGCAACATTTATATTTCTTATGAGTGAGGAGGAGGGGAGATTCAGAGAATTGGTCCTGGGAAGTGAACAGGGAAGCAGCAGCTTATTTTTAAAAACCTAGAAACGGAGTAGAGGTGGTTTACCTCTGTGAGATGTAAAAATCTTTTTCCTTTCATCAAAGCTACAAGCCCATTGTTGAGTTCATTGATGCTCAGTTTGAAGCCTACTTGCAAGAAGAACTGAAGATAAAGAGAGTCTTGCATAATTACCATGACACCCGGATCCACGCTTGCTTGTACTTCATTGCTCCGACAGGCCACTCGCTGAAATCCTTGGACCTGGTAACAATGAAGAAGCTTGACAGCAAGGTAGGCAATTTTAACTGTTACTGTGCAGGTCATCTTGCACACAATGGAAATGCTGCTACTTTTCCAGGGCACGTCTCCCCTTGCATACCCCTTATGCTATGGTTGAGTTGGCAGATGCATCCTTTAGACTTACTTAGTGCTTTTAAGTTGTTGTAAGTTGTACTACAGACTTTGAAAAACTACCTGGAGCATACCTTAGGACTTACCCCTCTGTTTCTCTCTAGGTCAACATCATTCCTATCATTGCCAAATCTGATGCCATTTCCAAAAGTGAGCTGACCAAGTTTAAAATCAAAATCACAAGCGAACTGGTCAGTAATGGGGTTCAGATCTACCAGTTCCCAACAGATGATGAATCAGTGGCGGAGATAAATGGAACAATGAATGTAAGTGAGTCAATACTTCCTGCTCTCTCAGAACACCTGTCACTGTACAGGTGGTGGCCTATGTTGGAATGTTTCTTAAATCCACTTTCCCTTTTATTTTGTCCTGAGAACAGAGAGGATCGCGTTTTTATAGTGTCATCCTATGCTAGCAGAGTTTTGAGGAAGGCTACTGCCATTCTGGCAGGCTTTTCTAGTCAGAAAGCAGATGGAGTTTAACCCCTTCCTTGTCTTAATGCATAAGTGTTGAGGTTCGTGCAGGGAATTGGACAGATGGTGAAGTCTGGCCATGCTGGCATGGCCAGTCCTGTGTTGTGAATAATCAGATGAGTATTATCTGTCTGCTGCGATGAGCAGACTGTCTACAGTCTCTGTTCTATGCTCTGCATTTCTCACACCAAACAGCTTTGCTATCCTTGATAGGAGTTTCATCTGAAGTCTTGCCCTCTGCAGGTGTCTCCTGCCGTTGGTGGCTGTCCTTGCAGTGGAGCCCCTTCACCTCCTTCACCTTACCAGCTCTGCTACTCCTGTGCACAGAGTTGCTGTTTTGTTGTTGATATGCTGTTTTTTAGCTGGGTTCTTGGTCTGGTTTTGCCTTGCAGCTCTGGTGAAAGATGTAGAAATTGGGCAGGAGGAGTGGGCAGGTTTGAGCAATGCCTTCATTTGAGGCACAACTAACTGCTGATATTAGAGAGATGTAATCCAGTCATAAAAGACAATTTGGGCCAGGGTGGCCCAGTGGCCTCTCTCTTTTCCAAATGTCTGCTTTTGGTCACTCTCAGAGTAGCAAGAGAAAACGTATATGATGCTGTTGTAGGCATTCTGGGTTGTATCAACTGACACACAGAGAGATCAGCTCTTTAAATCCTCCGTTAAACAGATGCAAATCATGATTACCAGGTGTTACAATTGGAAAGATTAATGCAGTGGAAGGGCAACATAGGACTATAACAGTAAAGAGACCAGCATGGATAAAATGGTATTTCAAAGGGAAAGTAAGGGTGCTCACCCACCTGTGAAAATCTGGGCTTGCAGGAAGGACTCCACAGTGGAGGGATCTCCAACCAGAGATCCTTTCTCAGTGGCAGTCAGCCCTTAAATGGGGTCTAAGAGGGGTGCAGCCAGGCTCCACTCCTTCCTGTCACACAGCTGAATTCCCTTCTCCTGTGCTCCCAGGACTGACCCAGTCCTTTCCCCAGGTGATCAATCAGTGGTTCTGGCTGTGACCGTACACCAGGTTTCTGGGGACAAGGCAGGCTAGAATCTGAATGAATTCAAGGCTCTTTTGCAGACCTGTAAAACTTGTATCTAGATATTAATTTCCCAGAAAACAAATCTACTCATGCTCCAGGTCAGGAGATGTGTTTGCGGAGGGACTGAGACCAGTAAAAGAGCTAGAATGGGATGTGTGAGGTCTGTAACTTAAACTGCCAGTTTTAATCATGCTTGAAATTGAACAGGAAACTTCAGTTTCTGTCAGTTGCCCTCACTTATGTGTTTGTGCTTCCCTACAGAAAGCTTCATTGTCTTAGATCAACGTCTTTGAAAGGTTATAAATGCTCAAGTTGGGCTTCTTGCTGACCAGCAAACATTCCAGATCAGCTACCTCTTCTTTTTTTTTTTTTTTAATTACAGGGAAAAGTGAGACTGGTTTTTTCATTACTTAATGTTTTGCTTATGACCTGCTTTGATTATCTTTACCACGACAAGTAAAATTAGGTTTTAAAATATGCAAACTCATTACTTAATGAGCAATCTAGGTTATTATACTGATGCATAAGGAATTCCTTTCAGAGTATTTTGCATTCAGAGTTGACTTGCTAAACAAAGAGGATACAGCCTGATGTGACAGAAATCAATGAATTGAAGATATAAAATCTGTGCCGTCATGATCAGAAGATGTATTTAGCAGGAACAAAGGTGTCAAGTGCAGTATTTAGATACTAGTTGGATTAAACAAATCTTCAGAACAAGATGCCTGATTTTGCTTGAAATCAGTTTGGTCTTTTTGAGAATCCCACTGTGTGTATGTTTACAAGAGGTGTAGAGAGCACTTGAAAATACTCTCCACAATTCTTTGGATCTCCTCCCATCCAGGTTTTATTCTTAAATCATAATACAAAAAAATGATCTCTGCTATTCTTTCAGCTCCCAGCTGGCTTTTCCGTTTTGAATGAATTAATTTAATTACTGCAGAATATATTCTCCCTACACCTGGTAGGGTGACATGGTAGGAACTGGAACTTACTTTTGGAAAAAGGAAATCACCAGCACTTTCTCCCTAGCAAAAACAGCAGCCAAACTGTTAGTACTGATGGTGAACCCGTTAGAGAATAGGCCTAGCTCTGTGCTGACATGCATCCTTCCATGTGCTGACATGTCAACACGATTCTAAAAGTAACTGTGTGAAGGGTGTCTCGAGATGCTGTGGTGCTCAGGGCCTCCTCACAACCCAGAATGGCCTCTCCAGACTGACCACTAAGCCCCATTTGTACTGTTGTATCCCTCATGAGAGAGGTGTGAGGCCAGGGAATAAAAGGTGAAGAGCCCATCTTTGAGAGTGCTTGCAGGCAGCTTTGCTATTTGACTGTATGAGCCACACTCTGAAAGTGGAAAACACCCTGAAATCTTTTTCTTGTCCTGTTACTCACTTCTACATGATTTCAGACAACCTGTGAAATTAAAACTTCTCTACTTATTTCTGTAAACAATCTAGGGTCACTGATCTTCCATACCATTGGCAACCTGAGGCACTTTTAATTGCCCAGAACCAAGCACAGTTTAAAGCTAGCTAACAAATGTCTCTGCACAGAACTCAGCAGAAGGGTTGAGTGTGGCGCTGGCAGCTTTATTTTTAAGTACTGAAACCTTGCAGTTGACTTCTCTGCAGCTTGGCGGAAGGCTGTATAGTTCCCAGGAGCAAGTGGAGGTGGGGAGAGACCTCACTTATTGCACAACAGATAAATGCAGCAAAGATAGCAGAGATGGGGTTTTCTTGCCTGTGTGAGTTTGGGGAATGAGGGGTGTGCTCTGCTGAGGTGTTGGGAGCAGTTTTATTCCAACCTGGCTGAATTTGTACTGGGAAAGTCTCTTAACAGAATGCAAGAAGAACCTTCTTTATGTAGAAGTGACTATTCTGTGTTTCTAGGTCACAACAAGCAAATTCCTCTTGTTTGTAGCTAAGCTACAACTATCCCTTATGGAGTGTGTCCTGGCTTAAAGAGAGTAGCTAGACACAGTCGAGTTAGTAGTACCAGCTGTGCTCTGCTGTCTTCAGGGTCCCTTCTTGTGGTTATGATCCCTGGATTCGGTCTCCTTTATTCTCTTCCTCTACAGCCATCAGTATCATAAAGACTTTACAAGCCATCAACGTGCCTTTGGATTTTTCAGAACCTGAGAAAAGACGTAGTTTTGATAAAGGAGCAGTGAGGGAGCATGATAAAGGAGCATGTGCCCAGCACATGCTACGGGCAGCACCAGCTGGTATCAGTACTGGGTAGGCTCAGCTCAGTGCAGCCCAGTGAATGCAGGGTCCTTCCCAGCTCAGCCAGCAGCAGACCTCAGAGCATGCACAGTGGAATGCAGAAGCTGATAAAGTGCAGGGACGAAGCAAGCAGGGAGAAAACCTGTTAATCTGGGTAGAAGGAGAGACTTCAGTCTCCTGATCAGATAGAGCAAGTTATCTTGTGTTCTGGTGTGAGCTGAGGGAGTGGGAGGGGGATAAAAAACGAGGGCTTGTTTATTGCTTCTGTGCTTGTGCAGATGTTCTCCTCAGCCACGGCAAGCCCCAGGACAGCACCGCAGGCAGAGCCACACAGCGTGTTGTTCGAGCTGTCACTCTGATGCTAGTTTTGCACTGGCTCATCTCACCTGAGACCCTGTGGCTGGGAGGATCAGCCAGGTAGAGGACATAGAGTGGTAGCACTAACAAGGTTTCCAAAAAGGACCCTCCCTTCTCCCCCTTGTCTTGGGCTAGTGGCCAGTGATTAGACTCCCCGAGTTTAGCGTGTGTGTAATGAGTGTCTTGCATAGTGACTGTGCTAATCTCTGTGTGCTATCCAGTCAACCAGAGCTGAGAGGGACTAACAAAGGTTGCATTAAATGTGTTCCAGGCCCACTTGCCGTTTGCAGTGATTGGGAGCACGGAGGAGTTGAAAATAGGAAACAAAATGATGAAAGCTCGTCAGTACCCTTGGGGCACAGTGCAGGGTGAGTCAAGACATGAAAATTTCATGGCATGAATGGTGACATTCCCACCAGGAGGCAGTGGATTCACTCTTGTAAGAGAAGCAAGGATCTGCTGGACTTCAGTTTCTCTTGGAGGTTATCCTTTTGTCCTTGTAATAATAAATCCTTGTGTCAGGACAATAGCAGCAGTGTCCTCTATTCAGAAGGGCTGTTAAATCTATTGGAGGGGTAGCCCAATGGGGAATGTGAGAAGAGACCTTTGTTTCTACCCCTTTCTTACCTTTAACGTCTTCTTACAGTGGAGAATGAAGCTCACTGTGATTTTGTGAAGCTGCGGGAGATGCTGATCCGTGTGAACATGGAAGACCTTCGTGAACAGACCCACACACGGCACTACGAGCTGTACCGGAGATGTAAGCTGGAAGAGATGGGTTTCAAGGACACTGATCCAGACAGCAAGCCCTTCAGGTGGGACCCCTGCAGTAGGAAGGAGAACTTGAGGGAGGAAGCATCGTTGGATGCACTGAGTGTTTGTGTGTGTGTGTGTGTCCTCGAGAGAGCATATAAAGAACCAATGTGGCAAGAAAACCTGCCAGGTCAGATAAATCTAGACTTCAGGAAAGGTGTCAGCTGAATGATAGAAGGTGAAAGCGCAGAGAGCATTTGCAGGACTGACTGGAATGGCAGATGTAACAATGTCAGTGCTGCAGGGACACTGAGGTCTCCATCTGAACAAGTGTTTGCTGCCAGCTGGTCTCTCTGAACTGCCCAACGTTCAACATATAGGGAAAGTACAATAGCTTACATACCTCAGAAATGATTGGATAAAGCTGACTTTGAGCATGCATGGGTGGGTGGTAGGAAAGCAGTATTCATGGTGAAAGCCTGATTTGAGAGACTTGGGGAAAGTAGAGTTTGTCCTCAGTTGTATCACAAGGCTTTTCTTTCTCTTTAGCTTACAAGAAACTTATGAGGCCAAAAGAAATGAGTTTCTGGGGGAACTGCAAAAAAAGGAAGAGGCAATGAGGCAAATGTTTGTCCAGAGGGTCAAGGAAAAAGAAGCAGAGCTGAAGGAAGCTGAAAAAGAGGTGAGCACTACAGTATTTGTCTCTTTGTGGTGATGCATGATATACTTCCAAGTAGGCAGCTGCTGCCACACACACCTCCTGCAGTGTGGTTTAGGACTTTATTAAAAACTAACAAACAAACAAACAAACAACAAAAAAAAAACAACTAAAGTTTAACTTGGAACCTTAAGGTATTTGTCCTGTAGGACAAAGCTAGATTGCAGAGATTGCCTGTACAGCTTACTGTGCTAGCTTACTTTGATTCTGACTGACAGCTTTGGCATGCCAAAATTCAAGGAGAGAATGTATGTAAGCTTGTTATATAAAAATTATACCCATACAACTTTCTTAGTGTTGGGGAGGGGCATGAAAACCCACTAATGCATTTTAAAAGAAATAAGGCCAACAACTTTAGTAAGAAAATGAAGTGGATTGATTATTTATTTATTTGTGATTATACTCTCCCAGTCCTCTATTGTTAGTCTGTGCACTGGCTCCTCACTAGAATAGTGCTTGTTGTGCAGGATGCTTTGGAAGAAGACTCTTCCTGCCCTTTGTCTATGCATTGTCAGGTCAGGGTGCAAGAAACGATGTAAAGTCCAACAGAGATTTGTGGGCTGAGATCTTATGAGAATCCTCTGCCTTTCTTCTACGAACAGAGAATCTGGTTGTGTTCATCTCTCTCTTTTCTCTCTAGCTCCATGAAAAGTTTGATCGTCTGAAGAAGTTACATCAGGATGAAAAAAAGAAGCTGGAGGATAAGAAGAAATCTTTGGATGATGAAGTTAATGCATTTAAACAAAGGAAGACAGCAGCTGAATTGCTCCAATCTCAGGCTCAGCAGGCTGGAGGATCACAAACTCTTAAGAGAGATAAGGAAAGAAAAAAGTAAGTTGTTAACCTGACAGTATTTGCTGCTCTTTTAATATTTTCTGGGTATTCATATCTCTTTCCCAACCTAGCCAGTCCTTATCAAGGGAAGGTTTGCAGACAGCTATAATCCCCAGTAAGTAGCTGAATGCATTTTAGCTCTATGTGTCATCCTCAGGAGCAGTAAGCACAGTACCAGACTCCCTTACTGGTTACTGACAGCATGGAAGAGGATGAACTTGGTTCAGTTTGCTGGGATTCCCTGCCCTTCCTTTGGTCTGTTAGTGTCTCTGATTAAGCAGAAGGTTAAGGTGTGGTTAGCTATCCCAGAGAGGAGTCCTATTTCAGGGTCTTGATTAGATTTAGAAAAAGCTTCAGAAATTGTTCAGGGAACTAGAGTATTCAATTCAATAGTAACAATAGTATTGAATTCTTGGATCTGCAAAATGTAAGTCTCTGAAAGCGTTAGTCTCTACAGCCTTATACCAAAATTTGACCTCCCAGAAACAGTGAGAGATAATGCACAGGTTTAGAAGGGTTCCCCATGCAAGGGAATGGTGTGACAGGATCTGCAGCCCCTTGTCAGTGTCTCATGCTCTGGAATATCAGCAGTGCCTTAATGTTCTGTAGTTCCTCAGTAGTAACCCAGCTGTGCAGCTGAAACTGTTTTCCTGATTTACCTAGCAATGAGAAGTGGTGCATAATCTGAAACGGAGGGCTGTGCCACCTTAGCATGTGTACAAGGAGCAGTTGCAGATAGACGAGTGTCTGTTTTTTATACTATTGTCGTATAATCCCCTCTCTGCACATCCGTGAAGCAAATCCATAGTAAATCCTGCCTGTACAAGGCAGTTTTAGTACATGGGGAACTGCTATTAATATAAAGAATATGGCACATGCCCAGATAGCTGAGAGGACTGCTTGTCAGGAAAAATAACCCTTAACCGTTATACTTGGAATCAAGCGAGACAGGAGAGGAAAGACCCAATAACCAGAATCAGATCCTGTTTTAGTCATTTTAGTTTTGAGCTGGAACTGCTACAGTGTCAACATTCTTTTGCAATGAGCAATTAGTGCTCCTGCCCTTTTCTCACTTGTCTGTTCCTTTTTCCAGTGCGTATTTTGATTTGCCTTTCTGAATTACCTTCAGGGGTTTTTAATGTGTTTTCGTACTGAGGAGCCTGAGACTAACTGGGGCCAGACTTTTCTCCCCAGCCTTTTTGAGGAGTACAGAGCTGTGTTTCTTTCATGGTTACAGCTCTCAGATGTCTGCATGCTGAGGACTGCAGACTTCTGAGCAGAGATTAGTCCAGGTCAGGAATGCCAAGAAGGGAGATGACATGCCCTGTACTATGAGCACTTAGTAGCTGTGGTCCAAGTCACATACTTGTTCCTAGAAGCAGTTCTGATCTCAGAAACACTCCTGACATGAAACATACTCCTATGAAAATGCACTGGTACCATCCTTGTTGATTAATTCTGGGGCAGGGTGAACTCTGTGCAAGTGGTAGATCAGTGCTTGTTTCAGGCTTGGGAAGAAATTAGGTTGTCTCTCCCTCCTCCCGGAAAACAACAGTGTTAAAAATGGCAGAGCTTTCTTTACTCTAACCTCTCCAGTTGCCCTTAACGATTCATTTTGGTGTTCAGATTATAAATCTCTATAACAATCCATGAATTTCACAAGGCGGTAGCTTAACTGTGTCTTGTTCGATAGTGGCTGGCAGTACACTAGTCTTTTTCTTTCACAGATTACTCTTTTGGACCATAGCTCAGTAGTTTGCGCTAATCATGGCTTGGTTTCTTTTTATTATTTTTACATCATCATCATCGTCATTATTAGCTCTTATATGTATGCTGTTTTACAGTTAACTGCTGTTTGGCTGCATGGTGCATGAGGCACGTTGTCCTGGTAAGCGTCATTAACATATATAGACCTCACAGTGGGATCAGTTACAGTTCCTGAAAAAGCAGACCCTATGCAACTCCAGAAGCCTCTAAGTGTTATCATCTCTGTCTTATTCTGCTTTCACCTTTACTGTATGGGTTTTTCACTCTGTCTCTGTATACAGTTGTAGAACAAGGATGCCATGAAGCATGTCTTCAAAAATTTTGCAAAGTAAAATGCAGATGGAATCAATATTTGGACGTTAAATGTGGAAAAATATCCTTAAAAATATTTCCAGCAGTTAGCTGGCTCTATTTTTCTGACTCCCTCAGAAATAAATGAGATTCTTTAATCACGTAGGCCATGCTGGTACTATGGCAACAATTGCTATGGAGATGTGATGATGGAGCCCAGCTAGCCTGAAAATCTCTTTCCTTTCTTCTCCTTCCTTTGCTCCCACCCCTTCAAGTCACAGGGCTAGCTTGGTTACAGTGCAGGATAAAAAACTAGTTTCTATTTCCTCCACTCCCAACAGATGGTAAAGTCTGCCCAAACTAGAGTTTTCATTTATCCTAAAGCACCAGAGAAAGTGTGTGTGAGTATTGTCGATTGACTATGGTTGATTTTCCAAAATCATGAGAGATGCAGAGTGTTCAGCAAATAAGGGAAAGCTGTGAATATAGACTAAGACACTTTATGACATTTTCAATGGTCCAGCGGGCTGCCCCGTGGATGGATATTCACTTGTAGCAGACGCATGTCTGGGAGTCATGCCAAGTGTGTACGGTTTGGGTAAGGCTAGTGGAAGGAGAGGGCTGTGCTCAAGCTGTGGCCAGAAAGCCTGCCAGAGCGCTTTGCCTCTGATTAAGGCCAGCATCCGAGTCTCTGGTGAGTTTTGCCAGGACACAGAGGGTTCCCACTGAAGCAGAGCTCTGTCAGCAGTGTCCCACTGCGAGTCTGTCCAGAGTGTCTTTGTCTTCACATTAGTAGGGATATGAAATGGCTAGGTAGTCATTGGCAGGCTTGTCGAACAGAGTAGGGTGTCTGAAGGGATTTACAAACATAGCCATCAATAAGCATCTGCAGTGGGAAGTGTCAACAGCTACTGTAAAGTGAAGGCTAATTTAAACAAAGATGTCTAAGAAATGCACCTGCCTGGCAGGAAAGCATCATTATGGTTATTAGCTAAACTGCTAATGACAGTGGGTTACTTACAGCTGTGCTGAGTGTTTTTAAATGAGCCTTTTTAATTTGCTGTTGATTCTCTGGTGAGAGGAAAGGGAAAGCTTTTAAGGGAATGTCTTGCTTCTTGACAGAGCAACAGTATTTATTACCCAGTATGAGGACAACAGCATCCCCAGCCTGAGCACAGGTTTCCCTGAGATGGGTGGAATAGCAGCATTTAACTATAAAGCATCCTGACAGCTCAGCCTCTAGGCCAGCTTTCCCTGCACACAAACCTAGGATTTACATTTTCTATCAGACAGAATCCTAACTACCTTATGGTCTGCCCTTAAGTAGGGAATAGCTGATTACCCAATTCCAATACCTCTCCACCAAGAGAAGTGGAAAAGCAAGTACATGTTATGCTGTCAGTGAGAGGTGTTTGAGTTTAATTTCAATGGGGCATTCCACTAACAGAAGAGCTTCAGAAGGGTCCTGCACTGCAGTCATCTTGAGCAGTCTGGTAGAATGAATGCCTCTGCTGCCAGCAGTAACTGTAATACAATGAAAAGACCAATTCTGTGCTTTTCAGGGTCTGAATGTGGACAAATAAGCTCAGAGAACAACAGGATTCATTCTGGTGCTGAGTATGAAGGCACGGCTAAAGTGCAGTTGAGGGTGAACATTACTGATTTCTGTTGGGATTGGATTGCTTTTGGCAGTCCGTGTAACTGTACACTGTTGTGTGTTAGGCTTTGAATCAAATAAAGTTCTTTGTTTCCACTGTACAAACGCAGACAGTGCCTTTTTCAATGGGCATTTGTCCTTGTTAAATTAAATATGTATACATGGTACTTTTTCAGAATTCAGAATAATACTCTCAATATTGATCCATAAAGTATTGCAGGGCCCCAGTGTTTTGCAAGGATATAAATAAGTCACAGTTGAGGAGTTCTGTAGCTTGCAAAAACTGTGAAAGGATTGTTTTAGAGAAGAAATGTGGTTCATCCCACTGCTGAGAGTGTGTGTGTCTGCATAAAGCATGTTTTGTAGTCCAATTAAACTTTATTAACACATAGCAATATTTCCTGTTTGTGTGTGTGTGTGTTAGGAAGCATATTTATGTTTTTTGTTGTTGTTGGTTTTTTTTTTTTTTTTTCATTAATCCATAAAACCATTAATCTGCCTTTTTCTTTCATTTTCAGTTCGGGTTTCCTGTAGAACCTTTCCCTTCGCACCAGAAGCGAATGCCCCCACATTCGGTTAACACGCAGCCATGCCATTGTGCCTGTTTGCTCACCTTTACTCATTGCTCCCTTACTGTGCTCACTGTTCTAAGCGACAGTCCGCACCCTTGGCTGTTCTGGGTTACACTTGTTTCTGTGAAGAACTCAGCAACAGCCTCTGTGGATCTGGCGAGAGATGCTTGTGGCTGATAACTCCCCCTCTGGTCAATAGCAGCTGCCAGGCGCTTGTAGCATCACCACTTCTCAGTTATGCAGCTTTTTGTCTCTCCCCTGCGTTTTGTGTGAGGCTGCATGATGACAGCAGCTGCTCAGCCGCGTGCTTTTCGTGCTACCAGGGGTCGACTGTAAAGGCAACCCGGCGCGGTGGTCTCCAGAGATTGGCTGCCCTCTCACCTTTTTAGTTTGCAGTAGCTAACCTGTCATTGCCCTGCTGCGCTGTCACGTGCAAATCAAATCATTTGAAAGGACTTTTTGCCAAACTTAACGTCCTCACAGCCGTGAGGGCCTGAATCCGAACCTCAGTTCCCAAGCCTGGGGGATTTTTCAGACTTGGATCCATGGTTTGCAACTAAGTGTTCTCTGAATGCTGCAGGGGTCACGAAGGATCTCCTGCCTTGTCTCCTTCTCAGTGTGCTGGGCTGGATGCACATCCTGGATCCAATCTCAGGGAAAGCTGGTCACCTTGCTGTACATACCAGTGCCTGTGAAGAAAGATGATGATGTTTCTTTGCCTTTCTTCTCAGTGATTCCAAAAATTTCTCGGTTTAATGCAAAAAGTATCACCTTTTTTTTTTTACATCTGTTTAGAAGAGTACAGATGTTGGCAAGTTGCTTCTTATATTTTCTATTCAGCAAAAGCCTTGTTCTAATGCAAGATTTGCACTAAAAGAGAAGGTGTTTGCTCTTTGGGGCCAGGAGTTCACCCAGTGGCCAAGTGCAGCTGCAGTTTGCCTGCAGATGTCTTTTCTGTGTATTTCTGGATGAGTTGTTTGTTTGTTTTTTAAATAAAGCCTTCATCAGACAGTGAATTCTGGTTAACATTTACTTCTTTTGTTTTGTTTTTTTTTTTTGTTTTCTTTGCCCTTCTTTTACAGTAACCCATGGCTCTGTACTGAGTAATTATCCCTGAATACAATGGGCTGGAATGGACCTTCATTTACTTGTTAAATCACAGGGTCTAATAAAACGTGACAGCATTTCAGCTGTGACCTTTCCATGGTGTTACTCTTGCTCTCTGCTATACTCTTGTTGTGAACTTGTTTTACTATGTACTGGTGGTTATTGCTTTATTAAATAATGTAAAATGAGTCCTAACGAGTTTGGGACACTGTAGCTTTAATTTCTCTCTCTTTTGTTTTTTATCCATACAGTTAATAGCCTCCCCCTTTCTCTCAGTCCCTCTCTAACCAGAAAACATAAAAATGAGTTCTGTGAGATGAGAGTTATTTTTGCTGGCAAAATAACAATGCGGTTTAAGTGTATTTATTTGGTGACGTTAAGATGACACCACCACCTTAGTTTGATTATCAAATAGTCAAAAGATTAAAAAGTTTTCTTCATACTTGGGGCCGTTTTCATGACATCATTCATCTTTTATTATTTTTATTTCTGGATAATGCTATGTAAAGACTGGCATTAATAGGCGTTTCCAGTTCTGACTTGCTAGTTGTGACCCTGATCCTCCAGTTGCATTGTGTGCAGGCAGGGGGAATCCATGTGTCCTGAAACATCAGGGTGCTGCTGGCAAACAGTTCCAACAAAACCCTTCAAACCCAAAGGTTTTTGAAAGATAAGCACGTGTCAGAGCTAGCCATGATAGATCATGCAAGCCACTGCTGAGGATTTTTGTAGGAAGGTGTTAGTTTAGGATGGTGCTAAAACCTCACAGGCTTCATTTTGTGTTAGCAGGCTGGCTGCTCATGCTAACAGGCTGCAGCCTGGCCTTTCCTTTGGGGCAATCAAGGCAGCTAGAACTCTTGACTGCAATGTGTTGTCTCAGTTTTGCTATGAATACAGTTTTATTTCCTGTACAACTCTTGTGTTTGTTTGGTGTTTTTTTCTTCTTTTAAAGCAAGTTAAAATAATTTGATTGGTTTGCTTCATTATTGAATTCCCCCTTCCAAAACCAGTCAGTGGTTTCAAGATTGTCCTTTAAAAGAAGCATTTAACGCAGGTTTTTTTCTTTAACCCATACTGCAAGTCACTGGTTGTTCTTCCTGACCATTTGCCTTATTAGAATGCAATTAAAAGTATTTTAAAAGAAAAAAAGTGTTTTACTTGTGTGATTTCCATGAAGGTGCCATGAGATACGTAACCTCACAGAAGGAGGTTCCACCTCTCCTGTCAGCTGTTTTCATGTTGCATCTCTTTTCTCTGCTTTTTGAATGTCTTTCTCTTTTTTGCTAATCTTCTGTTGTTTTTTTTTTCTCTTTTTTCCCCTTTCTCTCTCTATAGCTTTTTTTAATCTGTCTTCGCCAGCTGCACGGGGTCTGAGGGAGAAGATTGCCACTTCTAGAAGAGGTTAGGGGTCCTCTGGCTGGGGCGGGGGGGACAAATTTCAGTGTTAGTGTCGGGGTAAGAAGCTCTGTACTGACTTGCATGGTATCTAAACGAGGTGTCCTGTGATCTGTGTGACAGGATCGCGGGGGGCTGGTGGGTTACCCGCGGGTTTGGAGAACACAAATGTGATGTTTGGACTAACGATGTAGCTAATACATTTTCGAATATTGTTAGGAGCATTTTTTTTTTTTTCTTCCTAATTACGTCTTTAATAATATAAATGTTGCGGGCTTCCACGGGGCTTGGAGCTGGGGGGTATTTTCAGTACGCTGTCGTTGGGTCGGTTTGGGGAACTGTGCAAATCTAAAGGAATTAGAAACACGGTGCGACGTGAGGCGTTGGCAGCCACAAAGTATTTAATTTTAACAGAGAAATAAAGTCAGAGCTGTGTGTTTTCACCGGTGTCCGTGCCCTTTCTGACCCAGCAGCCGGTGCGGTTATCCTACGGCACTGCTGTGCCCACCTCGAATAGCAACTACGGCGGCCCGCGCTGCGCTGCGCTCTGCCACCGCGCGGGGTGAGATGCCCGCTGCCTGAGGTGAGCCAGGCGCGGCGCTGCCGCACGGCGCGGTCGCTTCCCGCCAGGCGGCCGTTCCGTAGGCGCTGCGCACTCTGCGTAGCCGCGCGGGGCGCTGCGCGCTTCCCGCCGACGAGCGGCGCCCTTCCGCCGCGAGGAGGGCTCTACGCTCTCGCGCCGTCTCGCGATGTTTCGCGCGGCCACGTGACGCAGAGGCCACCGGTGCGCTCCGCGAGAGCGGGGCCGGGGTTCGGTGTGGAGAAAGGAGGGGCGGGGAGGAGGCGCGCTCCCGCGGGGCCGGGCCGTGAGGAGCGGGGCCGGCGGGGCCGGGCCGGAGCGGGCCGGGCCGGGCGGCGCTCCCCGGCGTCCGGCGGCGAGGCGCGGCCTGGGCCGCACGTGGGGCCTGCTCACCTCTGGGGCCCGGGCCGCCTTCGCCGCCGGCCGCCCCCGTGCCCGGCGGTTGCGTTCCCTCCGCGGCGGAGCGGGGCGGGGCCGGGCCGCTGTGCCCGCTGAGCGATGTCCCCGCCGCCGGCGGAGGCGGTGCCCGAAGAGGTGCTGGAGCAGTGGCGGCAGTACAGCGAGAGCGAGCGGCACTGGGCTGCGCGCCGCCGCTTCATCCTCCGCCACCTCCACAGTTACCCCGGTGCCGCCATCGACCGGCTGCTGGCGCTGTCCGTCCTGTGGAGCAACCACGTCTTCTTGGGCTGCAGGTGAGCGGGGCGTCGCTGAGGTGTGGGGAGGGGGCCGCCCGAGGTGAGGCCGTGGAGGGCTTGGGGAGCTGGAGTGGGGGACGGCGACCCCGAGGGCTTGGGGAGCTCTGAGAGGGGGCTTGGGGGGGTCTGCATGGCTGTGGGATCCCTGCTGAAAGGCGGTGCCCCGGGGCAGCGAGGTGCTGCGAGGTGAGCGTGTGTTTTGGGAGCAGTTCTTGATGCTCTTCTCCCGAGAGCTTCTAAAGCAAGCGGTATCGCGTTCTGTAAGTTACCTGTGAAGGCAGTGTCCCTTTAAGCGTAAATCAGCCTTTGCACTCCATTCAGAACGTAGGGTTTGTGTTCTCTGAGAGAACGGCCCGGTGAATGAAAAAGTTTTCCAACCTCCGTTTGATCGCTGCTGCCAGCACTGGGACTTGCAGGGCTGGGAGGAGCCTCAGGCACACCGCACTGACCCGCCTGGTGCTGGGACGTTTTTTCAATGGGACGTGATGCTCTAAAGGCAGGAGCGGCTGCCAAATAACTAACTTCAGTAATCTGTGCTGCGGCCAAAAGGGACTTGTAAACCCTGAGTGGCACGTGGCTTTGCTTTTGTTGACGTTGCTGTCCCAAAGTCTTAAGGGAATATCCTGCATTATGTGTATAGATCCAAGTCAACTTCTTTAGGTGTAGGCTTGCATGTTTTCCTCTTTCTTTCGGATCCAAGTACTGAACTGTTTGCTCTATGAGCATCAAAATTGAGCTTTGTTTTAAAGTAACTTCGAATTCTAAAGCATGGATTAGTGTTTTAAAATCAAGGCTGTTGTTCTAGTTTCTTTGGTCCATGTATAAACTTTTATGCTATCTTAGTAGAGGTGATGATGCTCTTGGGAATTGCAGTGTTGTAGTATGGATACAAAGTGCTGATCACAAGAGCTCTGTGGCAATATCTCCAATCCAAAAATGATGCAAGTTAAGCCTTTAAGTTCTTGTAATTTCCCTGATGAACATCTTCAGCAGCACCTCTGAGGGAAGACACAAGCAGCAGATTGAGGCATGCTATGCAGGGCTCATATCAGTGAGGCTATTTCCCCAAAGCTTGTGTTGTGCTCCAGCATGAGCACGGCGCTGGAGAGCAGTGGGGAGCTTCACACAGAGAAACTTCCCTGGGAAGGGAAGGGACATATGGCTCAGCTGCTCTTCATCTTGTCCTCTATACCCTTCACCTTATTTGTAGCCCTAGAAGTTCCTTTGATGAAACCCACCGGAGTGTTGATTTGGAAGATTGCCTGCAGAATGTCCAGAGGGCTTAGAGAACATGACCTGTGAGGAAGGAGTTAAATAACAGGGTGTAATTAGTTCAGAGGTTGCTGAGGGAAGATGTGTGTTCCAGATATGTTAAAGGTAGCTGTAAAATGAGGAGGAAATAATACAGCCTGCTCCACAGCTGCTGAAATCGGAAGAGGTAACAAACTTAAATTGCACTGGGGGGGGAACTCCAGTTAACCAGTGGAGACATGGGGTCCTCTGCCTTCACAAGCAGCTTCCACGAGGTGAAGTGGTGCCTCATGAGATGCCTCCTCCATGCCCCTGGAAGGCTGCCTTTCCAAATGTAGCATTTTAGCAGATAACATGTATATGTTAAAGCTTTAAAAGCCCCAGGCTTGGTGGTTGCAATGCTTGTTATTCACAGATAGGTCCACTTGGAGCCAAGTAACTTGTTAGTAGTGTCCTGCCCCAACCTCACAAAGACACCTGCCAACATCAGGGGTGGCAGGAGGGGTAAATTTGGTCAGGTCCTGTGCCAGCATCTCAGCAGCAGCAGGGTAAGGGCCTCTTTTGCTCTTCCGTTGGACCACGTTCTGCATCTCAAACATAAATGACCTGGTTTTATTCTGTGCTTTGTGTGAGGCTGAGTTGTCTGCCTGGGGCGGGTACTGAGGTACTGGAATCCTAGCTGACACAGAGACTGTAGGAGTGATTTAGGCTTGGAACAGGTGCAGGGGGGGGTTGGTGGCGGGGCCAGGTGCCCCTTGTGGGAGCACTCCTGACATGGTTTGTTTTTGGATCCACGCAGGTATGGCTCACAGGTCATGGAAAAGGTTCTCAAGATGGCAGAGGGCATCGACATCGGGGAGATGCAGACGTTTGAACTGGTCCCTAGCAAGAAGCTGAAGAGACAGCGGTCCCCACCTGACAGTGAGTGCATTGGCTGTGTGTCATGGGGGTCTGGCCCTGCTGCTGGGTGGAGGGTGGGCTGTAGGGAACCTGGCAATTGCAGGGTAGCATGGCAGGCTGGGGAGTAGCGGCCACGGTGAGCACTACTGGACTGCAGCTTTTCTCTTCCTCTACCATGTCATCAGGCATATGTAATTCAGGCAAAGTTCTTTTTTTTGCTTAAGTAAACTATAATTTTTATTTGTAATTGCTATGTAATAGATTTTTGCTAATTACAATGTTAAGGAATTGGACCTGTGTCATTAAATATCACTGTCTGTCTGTCCTTCTTTGATGTAGTGATGTTCTGACCTGAGAAGGAGTTATTGTATTGGTTTTCAGATACGACCTGCGTGGAGCATGGATATTGGGTGTTTTCCTTTTATTTCCTAGTTGGCCTGGAGGGGTCCCACATAGCTCAGCAGAGCCCTTGTTCTCAGGGATAGGTGTTCCAGCTGTAGTTGTTCTAGAAGAGGAAATGCAGTGGGCAAAGTGGGCTGTCTGTCTGGTGGCTTCCTCCTCTGGCTCTACTCCACTCCAGTTGTCAGAGCTCTTCTCAGGAGGGAGGGCTTGGGGAGCCACTTGTGCCTGGGGGTGTGGGTTGTGGATGTGAGCAGCAGGCCTCTGCTCTGTGGGGCAATGTTGGTTAATAGTGTTGCTTTTCAAAATGCAGATGCTCAGACGGTACAGGACTCCTCTCTAGGCCTGGATGTAGTCCCTAGCTCTGCCAGAGTTTCTTCTCTTACTTTGATAATCCAGTCATCTTTCTGGGCTTCCCTGCCCCATCTGCAAAACAAAGAAAAATACTGCTTTATCCCTGCTGTGTTATTTCTTTTAGCAGCAGCACTGTGGGAATGGTTCCTTCCCTGTTGTGTGCCACACACAGCAAAGAGCTCTTGTGCTGGGGAGGGCCTTTAGATGTTACTGCAGTGCAGTCACCAAAATATCAAGCTGAGCAAGAAATGTAAACTTTGCCATAATTCATCAAAACAGTGATGACTGACAGATTTAATATGAATAAGAGCTTTGCCACCTGATTTGAGTGTCTGTATATGAAGTACTCTTTTCAACTGCAGTGAACTAGTTTATGATAAATATGCTATGATAGTGTGATGACTAGACAGATGTTACCAGACCTGTATTACAGCTGCACGCATCAGCATTGGGTTAGGTGGTTCATTCCAAGGTACTGAGGTGGCCCTTTGCTCCTCTGGTGAAGTTGCATGCATATGCCACTTCAGTGCAGTCTTAAAATCTCTAAATCTTAGTATTGTTTGATTTGGAAGACACCCTTAAAGGTCATTTAGTCCAACTCCTCTGTAGTGAAGAGGGACATCTGCAGCTAGATCAGGTTGCTCAGGGCCCAGTCCAGCCTCATCTTGAATGTTTCCAAGGATGGGGCATCTACCACATCTCTGGGCAGCCTTTGCTAGTACCTCACCACTCTTAAAAAAAGAAAAAAACTTCCTACATCCAATCTAAGTCTCCCATGTTTTAGTTCGAAACCATTTTCCCTTGTACTTTTACAACTGACTGCTCAAGAGTCTGTTCCCTTTCTTCTTACAGCCCCTCTAGATACTGACTGCTTTCAGCTCTCCCCACAGCTTTCCCTTCTCCATGCTGCACACCCCAGCTCTCAGCTTGTCCTCCTAGGGAAGTGTTCCATCCCTCAGATCATTTTTGTGGCCTTCCTCTGGTCATCTCCCTCTCTTCCACATGCCTTAACATAGGTACCAGGAGTTTCAGGATCTTCCCTAACACTGAGGTGAGGCTGACAGGTCAGTAGCTCCCTTAATAAACTTTTCTACCCTTCTTAAAAGTGGATGCTATGTTGCCTTTTTTCCAGTCACCAGGGACTTCAGCTGATGACATGTCTTCTCAGATATCATCGAAAGCAACTTGGCAACTATGTCACTCAATTCCCTCAGGACTCTGGGATGCATCTTATTGGAACCCACAAACTTATGGATGTTCTGCTCCTGAGGTGGCAGAAGTCTTCACAGTAGAAATCTAGTGTAGCTATCTTTTAGGTGTAGCATCTTTGCTTATCAGCTCTTTGTCATTTTCTGCAGGAGCTCTGTATATCATGATATTGTTCCTCGTTTGCATTTCTTCTGGTTAATGTATGGGGTCTGCCATTAATGTGGACTCGCTTCAGAAATGAGTGGATGGGTTCAGTGGGCAGTGCTGTGGGGCAGAGTGAGTGAGTCAGACCTAAAATCCTTGTAACTGAAGATGTAGTGATTTTTGTATGCTAGATGAGAAGCTGGAGGTACCACAAAGTGACCTGCATAAGGACAGATGTTCTCTTTTGATCAATTGCAAATGTTAAGAAGGAAACATTTTGGTTTGTGTCTCAGAGGTAATTCTATGCACGAATTCTGCATGCCTTTTCTGGAGATGACTCTGAAAGCACTTATCTCTGTCATTGCATTGTATTTATTGGTAATCTTGTAATTTTCTTCCACCCCTTAGGTCCAGAGCGGAAAGAGATTCCTGAACCTCCCAAAAAGGTGGTCCCTAGGTTCCGTGTGCGGCCACGTTTTGAACCCATCCACTTCGTAACCAGTGCTGAGAAGGATGGCAAGAAGGAAGATTCTCTGGACAGCCAAACACAGGAAATGCACCAAGAGGCAAATACAGACAGTGTAACACAGCCAGCTGAAAACTGTATAGATTCTCATTCTGAGAATGCCCAGCGAGTGGATCCCCAGATCTCCAGCTCAGCTGGATTTGGCTTTGCAAGCCAGGCAGCAACTCCCAATAAGGCTGTGAATAGTACGGACGTTGCCACAAGTGGCATGTTGCAGGTTTCTGTTCCTCCCTCATCTGTCCAGTCTGTATCAGAGACTTTCCCTCCATCAGCTATAATGCTGAAGCAGAGTTTTATTGAGAAACTGTCAGCAGCTGTCTGGAAAAATCTTGCTAACCCAGATGCAAACATTGGGACTGATAAAATTAACTATACGTATCTCTTGACACGTTCAATTCAGGCATGCAAGACAAATCCTGAATATATTTATGTTCCTCTGAAAGAAATTGCCCCCGCCGACCTCCCAAAGAGTAAGAAGCTCCTAACAGATGGCTTTGCTTGTGAAGTACGATGTCAGAATGTCTACTTGACCACTGGTTATGCCGGCAGCAAAAATGGATCTAGGGATCGAGCCACAGAACTGGCAGTCAAGTTGCTGCAGAAGTCTGTAGAAGTTAGGGTTGTGCAGCGGAAGTTCAGGCACACCTATCACGAAGACCTGGTGGTGTGCCAGGCAGGTGTGAGTTGCCCAGATTTCCCTCCTGCTCTCAAACCTCATGAGGAGTTTGTAGTAGCCAACAGGGACTGTGTCCCAGCACAGCCCGGTGCTGAATCCGCGAAAGGTTCCACTAACACCAGCAAACACTGGACTAGTTTTGTCCTCACAGAGAATGCCAGCGATGCAATAGGAATACTTAACAATTCTGCTTCGTACAACAAAATGTCTGTTGAATATAAATATGACTACATGCCCAACCGCATGTGGCGTTGTCGAGTGTTTCTACAAGATCACTGCTTGGCTGAGGGATATGGCACTAAGAAGACCAGCAAGCATGCTGCAGCTGATGAAGCGCTGAAAATTTTGCAGAAGACTCAGTCAAATCTAACAGCCATCAAAATGACCCAGGTTCAGAAGGTGGGCCGCTCATCGCAAGGGTCTGGGAGGAAGAAGGACCTGAAGGACCTTGTGGTTTATGAGAACTCTGATAACCCGGTGTGCACGCTGAATGACACTGCTCAGTTCAACAAGATGACGGTCGAGTACGTCTTCGAAAGGATGACTGGCATGCGATGGAAGTGCAAGGTGCTGCTTGAAAATGAATTCATCGCAGAAGCAGTTGGAGTGAAGAAATCTGTCAAGCATGAGGCAGCAGAGGAAGCTGTGAAAATCCTCAAAAAGACTCAGCCAACTGTTGTTAATAATCTGAAAAAAGGCACCATTGAAGACGTCATCTCCAGAAATGAGATTCGGGGGCGATCGGCAGAAGATGCTTTGAAACAGAAAATCAAAGAAGACAACATTGGGAATCAAATTTTAAGAAAGATGGGCTGGACGGGTGGTGGCCTAGGGAAGGACGGGGAAGGAATTAGAGAACCTATTTCAGTGAAGGAGCAGTTTAAAAGGGAAGGACTTGGGCTTGATGTGGAAAGGGTAAATAAAATCGCTAAAAGAGATATTGAACAGATCATTCGAAACTATGCCCACTCAGACAGTCACGTTGACTTGACATTCTCTACGGAACTGACCAATGATGAACGGAAGCAGATACATCAGATTGCCCAAAAATATGGTCTTAAAAGTAAATCTCATGGCCAGGGCCATGATAGATACTTGGTGGTAAGCAGAAAGCGGCGCAAGGAGGATCTGTTGGACCAGCTGAAGCAAGAAGGCCATGTTGGGCATTATGAGCTTATCATGCCTCAAGCAAATTGAGGTTCACTGTCCGAGTTTACTGGTGAAAATGACAAAAGACGTTTCTAGATACCTGGTTGAAGAAAAAGATGCTGCATTTCTTGTTGCGTGATATGTTAACATTAAAATCTTTTACTTTGCTCATATGATTTCTAAAATGTTGCTGGACAATTAGGACTGGCCAAGTTCTATTTGAGCATATTAGCACAACCCAACAGCCATCAGTAGTGCTGTTACTGTATGTCTTTGATATTACTTGTTCCTTCACATTTTAATAGTTTTGTAATAGCAAAAACACATGTCCAACCAGAAAGAATTTGACACCGTTTAAAATTATAGTTCCTTTATTCTTCATAACCTTTTTGACTGAGAAAGGAAAAAATGCCTTGTTTTAAAAACAAAAAGGATAAAAAGCAAAAGAAATGCAGTTTGGAGGAATAAATCTGTATGTAAAGTTGGTATTGATGACAATAAAAATACAGCTTTATTTCTGGAAAAAAAAAGAAGGAAAAAACAAGTTTGTCACCTTTTGTGTAAAAAGAAGTGTGTGAAAACTGCATTTATTCCTAAGAAAGGTGTATATAGCAAGGTCTTGTCTCTGCTGTGTACATATGTGGAGAAAAATGTCCTTATCCACTGTAACAGTACGGTTTTATTCATAGGCTTTTACCTTGAGCCTCCCATACTGACAGCCACTGAATGCACCTTACTCATCAGTGTACAGGACTTAGATAATTCCAGTGGATTTTAACCTTGAAGCACTGCTTGACGTATGTAAATACCACAGTGAAGTGTGAAATATAAAAACTGGAGGTAAACACAGAGCCCACGTGTCAGAGATGCTAGTGTAGCTTGTGGGGAATGTTACATAACTTATTTTTTTACTTTGAATATAAGCTCTTTAACCCAAGCGAAATTAAATCTGTGCCTAATTATTTCTCTGCTCTGTTCATGTACCTCTGCTTGTGCTACGTCAAGGGTAACTCACAAGCAAATGGTTGCATTGCTCTCAAGTGCTGTGCAAGTGTGGAATCTCGTTGGTGCTGGAGCGTGCTGCTGGAGTCTGGAGTGCTCCTCCTGCCTGAGAAGCAGGCTGTGCTGCTGCCTGGGCTGTGCCTCCAGCAGGGCTGTGAAATGGTGCTGTGCAAGCCTTGGGGGAGCAACCACATCGTGCCTGGAAAACAGGGAGGTCAGGCAGGGACCTTGGAAGAGCTAAGTGGGAGATCTGTCTAGAGATGCTGTTCTGTCACCAGTGGGGCCTGCTGGTTCTTTGTGCAAGGACAGTTGGTGAAAGCAATCCTAGTGCGATAATTCTTTGTTCTCCTGTTGGCTTGTGCCTCAGCTATTGCTTTTGTTTATCTGCTTCCCATATTTAACTCTTCATTTCTTTATATTGTTTTCGTTTTTTACACTGCTCTTTTTTTAATACTGAGTGACTGAGCCCCGCTGATGGAGCAGAAGATCCTAGAGATGTGCATTTGGAGAGATTTTCATCCAAACAGTGAAAAGAAGGAGGTTCTCCTGGAGGACTTCACTTACAGGTAAGACTTGCTCGGGACAGAGAGATCTCTTTCTGTCTTTAATTAGGTGGCTTCAGCTTGGGCATGTGAAATAAAAACATGCTGCTGCTGCTGCTGCTGCCTTTGAAGGACAGAGGCAGAAAACTCTGAAAGGGTTTTTATTTATTTGTGCATTGTGTGTTCTACTTCTGAATTCTGCTCCCAGGGATGGTGGGTTTTAGCAGATGGCAGTGTAGGAGTGTGGAAGAAGCCTGGTACTTCCGAGTATTCCTGCAGGCAGAGTGCATCTCCCCCTCCCAAGCTCGGTTCTGCAGCATGTCCTTCAAGCTTGGTGCCACTGGGAAAAGTAGCAAGAGCCCCAGGACAGTGTTGGGCTGAGAAATTTTTCTGCTGAACAGCGTGGGAGGGGGTGTGGGATGTCTGGTACCACCACAGCAGTAGTTAGCAGCAGTGTATGTACAAGGTGATGCTGTTTTCTCTGCTGGGTAGCATCCCTGCCTCACAGCCGTTAAATCTTTACGGGGTTGGGTACCTCTGTTGTTTCCTAGTTGAATTAGTGGGAGTATATTTTTGGTGACTGTTAGAGCTGAAGAATTGCCTTCTGCTCCATCACCTGTGCTTATGTGGCCTGCAAACTTCCTGGAACCAGCAGTGTATGGTTTGAAATTTAGTGGATGAAGGACATGCGCATAGGAAAGCGGAAAAGGTGAGGTTTTTTCATTTCTGGCTGCCTTAGGGCTGATGCCAGCCTTTGTTTTTTAGTGAGTAGCAAGACATACAAAAATGGAGGGAGCGGTGCGGCTGATGCTATGCTAGGAGACAAACATGAGCCATTCAGAAAGGTTTCTGCTTGTAAAGGCAGAAATACTTACATAGGGTACAGGGAAATGGCCAACATCCCTCATACACTCTTTGGTTGGCTTCCCAGTCTTCCCAGGCGTTGGGGAGTTTGTTTGGTGTTTGTTCTGCGCCCTAAGTTTAGTCTGTGTAACTAGATGGTTAGTGCTTCACTGGCAAATTTTGCACAACAGATGCTTAAGAATCAAGATTACTTGAGCCAGGTACGTTCTGTCCATACACACTCCTGAGGGCCTATCAGCTCTCCAGCCCTACACATGAAATTTAATGACCCCTATGTCTTGTAGTTGGCTTTCTGACATTGCTAAGTAGCAATTACAAGGGTTCAGCTTAGACAGTCCTTTAGGAAAGCTAGCAAGCGTAACTAAGCACAGCTGCAGTGGTGTAAGGCTGCCCTATGTAAGGCAGAAGGCAAGCTCAGTGAGTGAAGTGTTGTCACAGAGATGAGCTAATGCCTGATTTATCTTTTTTTTTTTTTTAAGAAAACCTATCAGGCTGTCTTAATTGTGCAGCCCAGGAGCAATACTGGCTTTTGTTAGATGCCAGTCATTTTCAATATGTTCTCCCCTTCATAAGCATGATTCTCACGTCAGTTAGTTACTGAGCCTTGTCAGCTACTGCTACTAAAATACTATTGCAGGCTTTTTTGCAACAGCTTACTCCTGGGAGCATTGTCCTGAGCTTTCTGCAGGTATCTGTTTTTCCATCTCCTTGCATGTTCTTCCTCCATCTGGAAGGGCTCATGTTTATCCCTGCACTGTGAGCATACAGCTCACCAAGCACAGCTCCCACCCCAAACATTTGGAAGCATGCCCCAGCTTTGGTGGTAGATGTTTGCACACAGCCTGAGATGCCTCCTGCTGCCTCAGAATAACCACAGTTACACACCTCTTGCCTATTTATACAATAAGCATTAAGGTTACACTTTATTTACAAGTTTTGAAAAATGTACAGTTTCTTACATGGGTTACTTGTGCAAAGTTATACTTCTTAACTAACAGACCAATGTGCACACAAAAGACACCGGAACATTGGACAACACAATTGTAGGTTTCATCCCACACTGCTGCTTAAGGAACTGTATCCAAATGTACAAACTTAGCCGTACAAAAAAGTGAGTCTGGACTTAACAACTGTTTTCTCAGAGTTGAAAAAATACTTTGATAAAATTGAAGAGAAACTAACTCAAGCATGCAGCAGTAGCTCACATAAACCACAGTAAACTACAAAGATTGGGAACTGCAGAGACTGAAGTGCCTACCCCATACTTTATTCAAACTTTCCACAACGCAAAGCTGGATACCAAATAACTTATCTTTCTCAGATAAAGATAAGGGGAGGGAAGAAGACAGTAAAAGGAGAATAATTCCACCTCTGGAACGCTTCAGGTTTTACCTCTTCCTTAATATGGAAGGGCTCTAACTCAAAAGTACCGCAGCTCTATCTGCTGTTGTCCAGTAACACCTCAGTAACGGGACTACAGAAACTCAGTGAGCAGTCTCCATAGGCATATCCCTTAACATACTACTTTACTTTAAAAAAAAAAAGAAAAGTTTTTATTTCTCACCCCAAGTAAAGATCAAAGTACCACACCTGAAGTGATTTATGTATATCTGTACATAAATCTCGCCTGTGAAGTGCAGAAGTGACTAGCGTTCTTACAAACTAGTTAAGAGCTGGGAAACCAATACAAATGAAGAAAAAAACATTACTTCTTCACTCAGTACTTACAAATGCAGTGGGGTCTAAACCAATAGTAAATGACCAGCCTGGACAGATCAGCACTTTAGTAATATCAGTTAAAAAATGTGTATGTATATAAACATCCCTTTTGTCAAGCTACACATAAGCATCACTGTGTATAACACAATTACAATTAAAAGCTTAGTGTACACTACAGAAATGCACAATACTGCCCTAAGACTGGAGAGGGACCACAGAAAATGAATTCAGCATCAGTAATTCTTTTGCAAGTAACCCAAGTACAGTACATTTGACTTCAAAGTGGGTGCTTTATTATGTCCAAGGAGAAGAAGCTTCAGCAAGGGAGGGTGGCAACGGCACAACAGCTATTCTGCTTTCAAAGTAAATGCAGTGATGCTAGGATGAAGATGACTCAGACACTTCATATACTTTCCTCATCACCAGAGTGTTCATTTGCATCATCCTGGGTCAACAATCACGCCAACTCTGTTCTACTATTGCAGAAACCCGTTTTTCATATTCCCGCTTATTCTCTTGGTATAGTTGAGCTGCCTGGCTGTTTGCTGGACTGTTAGGATTTGGCTCATCCAACAGAGACTGCACAAAAAGAAAAAAGATGCTCAGACACGTGGAAGTACACAGTTTCTGCAATATATTCTCTAAACTATCCATATTAGTAAGGGGGCAGCAGTTCATCTAGATAAGGGTAGGGCACACTGCACTACTCCAGTTGTAAGTTACTGCAAGCTTTCAGCAGTGCAGTCCAGAGCTGGACACCTTCAGCAACCTCTTTGCATCTCTAAGGCTGGTTAATTTACACACAGTAAGTAATCATACTTAAAAATATATCAACATTTAGCTCCTTCACTGGCTCTGAGGAGCCAACAATGCTTTTCCTGAGTTGTGGTTTTTTGTGGGTTTTTTTTGGTAAAAAAAAAAAAAAAAAAAAGAAAGCATCCTAATTTCATTCTGCCTTTTCATGCAGAAATCTTTTTTACCTGTATGGATGTTAAGATGGAAGAGACATCGTAAGTAGGACTCCAACGATTCTGAAGAATATCCAGACATATACTACCATCTGCATAGACTAGAAAAGGTTCAAGAAGAATGGCTTAAAACAAATTGTACAGCTACTCAGTTTTTCCTAGTATTGTCTGATCCTGAAAACCCATATACTGACAAACAGGACAGAAGCCAGTACTGTGTGGCAGACTGAAATCCAACAGACAGGCCTGCATGTAGGAGATGAAGCTTGTCACTGGCAGCTGCCTCAAGTATTCAAGCTCAAACCCTGCATATTCTTCAATGCCAAGCTTCTCTGTGATACTGCAGCCACCGCTATGGAAAGATGAAACCACCAAGAGATTGAAGGCAAAAATGTTAAGCTTTCCACATGTGATCCAAATAAGGAACACTAAAAAAAGAGCTGTTTACATACAAGGTTTCCCCAGAACATATCTACAGCAGCCAATGCCTAGTCTCATGACAGCTGTACAAGAACTTTCCCTCGGTGCACTCAGCCCACGCAGGCTTATTTGCTATGTGTATGTAGCTTACTTAGCTATCTATACCTGCTAAGTTGCAGATATTCATGAAACTAGTATTTCTCTGAGAAAAGGAACCAACCTTTAGTGGCCAAGGGAAGGGACAGATTCAGGGATCTTACTGGCTATAGTTGGAAACTAGTACTACATTTCAAGGTATAGCATTCATACAGGCCCCCAGTTGTATGAAAAAAAA